TTCACATGACTCCAGTCCTCCATCAGCTTCACTGGCTCCCCATTGAAGTCCAGGCCCAATTCAAGGTGTTGGTTATTACCTATAAAGCCCTTAACGGCGTGGGTCCTGGCTACCTAAAGGAGCACTTAGATCCATACGTGCCCTCCTGCTCCTTGAGATCAGCGGGAGAGGCCCTTCTCCGGGAACCCTTCATGAAGGATATTAGGAGGATAAGTACCTGGAGGAGGGCTTTCTCTGCGGTGGCACCCAATCTATGGAATACACTCCCCAGAGAGGTCTGCCTGGCACCATTGTTGTTTTTTGGTGCCAGGCCAAGACCCTTTTATTTAAATGTCATTTTAATTGTTAGCTTTATTCATTGATTTTATATCTTCGGCCAGGATGTCTCCAATTATATTGTTTTTATATGTTTAATATGTATTTATTGTTGTGAGCTGCCCCGAGGCTTCGGCGAATGGGGCCTCATAGATGCTTACTAAATAAATAATACATAACCTTAGGGACAGATACCTGCACTTCACCCTCTGCTGTTAAGATTGACAGAAAGAATTCATTCAGCTTCCTTGCAATCTCCTCGTTCCCCCCCATCCCAATGGTCCTTTAATTCCAGTATCATCCAATGGCTCAACTGCTTCCTTGGGTTTCTTTTGCTCTATTTATTGTTAGCCTTGATATTGTTAACAATGTGCTCCTCAAACTGTTTCTCTGCTTTTGTGATGTCTGCTTGCATCTCTGCAAGCTTGTGGTCCCATCTGTTCTTTTCATTTGGACAAGACTTCCATTTTTGAAGGAAGCTTTCTTCTCCCTAACACCCTCCTTGACTCTATGGGTTAACCATGCTGGTGATCTCCTGGACTTTGTGCTACCTTTTCTCACTTGTGATATGCATATTATCTGTGCCTCTATTATAGTGTTTTTGAGCAATCTCCAAGCTCTTTGAAGTAATTTAAACTTCTTGATCCCCTTCTTCAGTGTCTTCTTTACCAGTCCCCTCATTTTTGAGAAGTTTCCTCTTTGAAGTAAAATGCAACTGTGTTTGATCTCTCTGGCAGTCTTCCACTAACTGTATAAATCTGGTACCAGCGTGATCAGTGGTACCTACTGGTCCAACAATAATTTCATCCTGTTGTCCTGCACAACCCTGCCTAGGACTAAATCCAAGATTGCCTCCCCTCTTGTTGGTTTCATGTGTAACTCCTGTGGGACAGTCATGTGACATCAAGAAATTTAACTTGTCAGAACTGGAACATGCATTTATCCAGTCAATGTGTATATTCATGGGGTCACCATAAGCTGGAGACAACTTGACAGCACATGACAACACCACATTGGTCTTTACCACTCACTCCTTTATCTCCTTTTACATCATCATCATACACTTTAATTAACTTTTTTCGCAATGACATATTTTGTACTGAAATATTCTCCCAGTTTTGGGTGTCTTTTGTAGCATCTTAGATAAATTTATGTGGAAAAGGGAAGAATGATCTCTACAACTATACCATTTGGACAAACTAAAACAGCAAAGCTTAAAGGTATAATCTCACTTCACAATATATAATTGTCTTTCTTCCGAGAATTAAAGGGAACAATTCCCATACGCAGTACCTTGAGTTTCTTGTAAGATATGTGGAATACAAAATATAGCAGAAGATAGATTAAAACACATTTAGAGTTTTTAAAAAATTTATGAGAAGTAACTCACAAGCCAGTTTAATTAGCCTCACCACAAGCAATGACAGGCCATTTAAATGTAAATCTCATACTTGGGTCAATTAAAGCTAATGGTTAATCAAATTCCTGCCTTGCCATGTATCATATTTGAATATTAAGAAATAATGAAAGGACTTTGTAATAACTTTTTATTAATCTTTTTCATTCAGTATGGCTTCAAATATTCAATAATAAAATAAAACTTTAGTCAGTGGGTCAGTTGAATCTTGTATAAATCTTATGGTTGATAGCCAGTGATAATTTTTGATGTCTCAATTGTTTCTTGTCTTTTTCCAGAATAGATTATAATAGCTTGCAAGAGAGTTAAGAGAACAGAACCCCCATAAGTCCCACTGAAAGCTACTGGAAAAGGTAAGTGATAACTTAAGTCCCACTGATTTCATCATGATCCAGCCTAACATCTTTTAAAAATCAAAATGAAATACAGTAAACAAGGAGGGCCTGCCACAAAAAGGTACTGTGTGGAGTGCTCCATTTCTTTCCTGTTCCCATCCAGTTTTCAGCCCATCCTCCTCATTGCATTCTGTGGGTAATGAAGATCCTCATTCATAATTCAGCTGCTCTAGGGTTTGTTTGTTTTTGCATTTTTTCATTAGATATTTTCTGTACTTCTGCACACTTCGGTACTTCCCTGCACTCCTAGTACTTTCCTATTGTGTGCCTGTGGTGCCATTTGCACTACCTAACCAACAGACTTAGATTTTAGAAAAAATGGAGGATATAACGTGAGACCTTCCGCAAAATGTTGCAGTGCCCAGTATTCCTGTTTCAGTTCTATGCCATTTCACCCCACCACCTGAGTCAGCATAACAAAGCTACTGGAATCTTCACTGGCTTTTTCTTAATTCCCCCCAGCAGGTCCCCCTATTATTTTGTTTGCTGCTCTGCTCACTCTGGGTCTTCCTTAACCCTATTCCAAATATGAGGAATTATCATTACATTACCTCATTGATTACTTTCCTGAACAAATGTCCCTCACCTTTATATTTTAACAGATTATCTTCCTTGTCTTAATTCCTTTTTCCAACTTTTATGTCATACTGAGCCAAACTAAACCAAGAAGGCCAATAAAGTTTTTTGCATTTTTCAAGTTATCTCAGCACTGCTATGCAATAAATGGGACCTTTAAATGATGATCTTTGAAATTCCTTGGACAGGACTCCAGTAAGAGTTGTGACAACAACTAATCCTACAACTCAGCTGGAGCCTTTGAACAATACTTTTAGTCAGGTACCTATGAAATTAATGTTGAGTTGCTACGTGCCTTAAATTGAATCTACTGTATTCTGGATTTATTACTTTAGAGGTAATGTCGAGAATTTTAGGGGGTGGGGGTCTATTTATTACCACTTAATTGGAATTATAGACACGATCTTTTATTAAAATTTCGAAATATACTAGACAGTATTTAATATGGATACTTTCTTCCGTGGTCACTTATGACAGTGGAGTTTTCTATGTTCCTAAGGTCTTTCCACTTCTGGTTATCACTCATTATTCCGTGGGTACGATATCTTGCTAAGCGCAGGACAACCACGCGTCGTGCCCCCCCACCTCTTACCTTTACCGCCAGCCGCGCGGCCGAAGGGGCGCAAGCCGGTAAAGGGAAGGATTGGGGGCTGCGTCGCACTGAAGCGAGAGAGGGCGGTGCAGGACGCGCTGCGATAGCGGACAGCACATGCCGCCTCTGCTCAGGCGGAAGGAGAATGTGCATGAAGCGCCTTCCACCCGAGCAGTACTCGGGCGTGTACAACCGCCACCGCGCCTTTTTCTCAACTCGCTCGTTTTCACTCATCCCTCCGCTCTCGCCTCATAATCAGATATTTGCCCCTCCCCCTCCAAGGTGCCTCTCTTCTCTTCCAGCCCAATGGCGGTTGACGCATGCGCACTGGAGGGAGGCGGCCCAGGCCATGGCGGCCGTTTAAAGGTAACTGACGGAGCACAACCGGAGTGGCGGATTTTTGCACCGAACCCCCCCTTCCCCCTCCGCTGTATCAGAGTGTAACGAGACTCAGGATTAGGCCCTAAGGGAGGAGCCGGAGGAAAAAGGAGGAAAGGGAGAAAGCCTTCGAATTCCCGCGCCTGCCTTGGCTGCTTCAGGCCTCACATCTTCCTCAACCCGCAATAACTTGCAGGGACGAGGAAGAGCCCCCGTTTAGCTTGCGAGAAGGTGGAGAGTCATATTATGCAGAAAGGAACCCGCCCATATCGTTTTAGCCCCCTCTAATTAGCGCTGATGGAAGTTGCAGTCTTTTAAGTCAATGGTTGCTTTTCCTTGTAATACTCTGCACCAAAGGGGGAAACTCTCTTTTAAAAAAACACCCTCATATACATCGCAAAAAGGGGGCGTCTAAATTTATGGGGTGTATCTCATCCTAAGAAGATACAGAGGAAAATCTTTTAGGGGTGAGATATTAGGAAAACTGACGGATCTTCCCTATTTCCAATACAGAAAAGCCCCAGAATATAACGAATAGGGAGAAACCCATAATGCTCCCTGGATAGCTCTGGGGATCCCTTTCATTGTAAGATAAAGGGCCAGAAGCAGTAAAATCTGGTAAAGAGGAAACAAATTTATCCACTCTTTTGAGGATTTTTGGAGGTGGGCTGGTAACGCCACAAGCCCCCCTATTTATATCAGGAGGAGGAAAAGTTTTGGGGAGCATAATTCTCAGATATTTACATGTGGGGACCCACTCAGCACTAGAGCCACACCAGAAGAAACCTGAAACACCCCGGATGGCTCACCCATCGCCCTCTTTCCAAGGGGGTATTCTAGGAGGAGGGAAGGATATCATATCAGTGGTGGGCAGCGAAAAGCACCACCATTCCTTGCAGGTGAATCCAAGGCAGGCCTAAGTAGATCATCTGTGTTTGTACCCAAACTACCCTTTGTTCTGGGGGATGGGGAAAAACGCTGTCCCAACAGGTGAACCCCAGCATTAGCTGTGGGGATCCAATCACCTATGGAAACCGAGAATTTTGCCTCGTTTTGTTAATAAGTTATTTCCCCACTCCCTGGGGAATAATAATAAAAAAATCCGTTTTCCCTTCCTGCAGCAGTGTTGCAGAGCCCATTTTCCCTTTCCCCCGCCTATATTTTGGGGCTTGGGGAAGAGACGCAAATAAAGGGATGGTTTTTGCAGCAGCAAGCAGAGAGGGTTGGTGAGTCGGTAAGACCGACCAGGGGAAGGTAGTGTAGGGAGAAGGGGGGGCGATGGGTCTTGGTGGGGCGGGCGGCGGCGACGGCGGCGCCCCCCGAGGGGTCCAGGTGGGGGATTCAGACCGAGCGCGGCGAGGAGGAGGAGGCGCCGCTGCAGAATCTGGAGCCTGAAGGTGCTGCATCGCCATGAGATCCACCGTGTACAAAGCAACCTCGGCGGCAACAACAACGACGGGGCCGGGCTTGCTGGAGCCTGGCCCGGAGGAAGAGGAGGAGCCGCCACCGCCGCATCTCCGCCAGCCTCCGCCTCCCCCGCAGAACCAGATCACTGTGCCGGCCCCAGTGGCTGCTGCAGCGGCGGGCCCTAAGGGCCGGGCCATCGTCCCGGCGGCTGTAGCCGCCGCTGCTCCTGGCCAGCAGCAGCAGGAAGGTGGCGTTGGCTGCTGTTGGGGCGGCCTGGTGCCCTCGCCGTGCCCGGCAGGCAACACTCGGCAGGCGGGCGTGGGCGATGCCGCCGGCAGCTCCCGCCCCTCCAAGTACCAGGCGGTACTGCCCGGACACACCGCTGCTGCCGCCACCGGCGCCAAGGACGGCAAGCGCGTCGGGCCCCACGCCGGACCTGGAGGAGCACCAGCGGCTCTTTCGCCCCCTCCTCCGCCGCTACCGTCGTCGGCTTCCGTCACGGCTGAGCCTGGACAGCCTCCTCCACCCCCAGGAGCAGCGGCGGGGGGATCTCCGGCCTCTTCGGAGCCCAGTGGCAAGTGGAAAAGCGGCAGTAGTAGCAGCAGCACAGGTAGCGGCGGCGGCGGAGGGAGCAGCCTTCGGAAGAGCCCCATGGGGGCCGGCGGGGGCGCCTCCAGCCAGGCGGCCTGCCTCAAGCAGATCCTGTTGCTCCAGCTGGACCTTATCGAGCAACAGCAGCAACAGTTGCAGGCCAAGGAGAAGGAGATCGAGGAACTCAAGGCCGAGAGGGACACAGTGAGTTGGACGTTGGGAGACTGAGTGGAAAGGGTTAATGCTCATCAGGTTGGAGGGAGTAAGGTTTTAAAGAAAATTGTGGCAATCTAAGGGTTAATGGGTGAGAGATGGGCTGGGTGTGCACTGGTCTAAGAATGAACAGAGAACGTGCATGCTTTGCGAGTCTGGCGTTAATAGTGGGAGGGGTTAAATAATTGAAGAGGCATATAGGGGTTAATCAAGTAGAGGCACAGGTGCTCATTCAGAGTGGTAGATAAGTAATGCTGCTAATTTAGGGATGAGTAGAGGTTTATATGTTTTTGAAACCTGGCCTAGAAAGAAGTAGATGCATGTGATGGGGCTGGAGTAGGAATTGGAGGACGTGGTTAACCAAGATAACTAAGGGAACTTAGGGGCAGGCCACTTGGTCCAGTTTCTATTCTAAAATGTGCCAGTTTAAGGGTTAATATATAAAGGAGTGGTTATGGGGTGACTGAGTGGTTTCAAGTAAAGGATTAATGGGTGAAGGTGCATAGGTAGAAGAGTGGCTAATCAAGGGATTTGTTGGTGATGTTGGGAAGGGTCTGAAATTGAAGTGACACAAGGAAAACTAGCATAGTTGCAGTTAAAGGTGGCAAGCAAAGGCTGAATAAAATTTCAGAAAGGGGTCTTTCTGTTTATAGGTTAACAGTAGAACTTGTAGTACAAACTAAACTTGAAAATACAGTTAAAGAGGACAATTGCAGGCTTAGCCATTAATGGGACTAGAAAGTAGCCTACAGCAGACAAAGTATTAAGGTGGCCTTGGCACTCCACAAAGAACAAGCAACTAAGAAGGGGTTGATAACCTGGTGGTTAAGCTAAGGAGCCTACTGTCTAGTTTGGTTAGCTAATAGATGGATTTAAGGACACTGGCACAGCCCAGTGCATGGTGGGTGGGAGGAGTTGTAGTTATCAAGGAGTTAATCAGCAGCTATCCAGGCAAAGGAGGGTGTGCCATTTATGGGGCCCTAAGGCTGAAACAGTGCTGTGACAATAGCAGGGTTAACTTAAGGCAGCAGATGTGGTGGTGGTGATGGTGGTTGGGTAGTTTATGATAGGGTTAAAGGGATTCTGGCTTGGCATGTGGGGAGAAGAGAGCAGCTTAAGCAAAACACTCAGCTATAGTATATGTCATGTGGACAGAAAAGGAAAACACTTTATCTGATAGGTTTTTAAAGGACTGTTGTAAGCTTAGTACATTTTTTCACACCCCACTTCTTTCCCTTCCCTTTCCAGAGAAGTAGTAGCCTACTTTTCATCATGAATATTACAAAACAATTGTGTTGTACTCCTGGAAGGTGCTCCTCTTCACTTTAGCCCAGCCATGATGCATCCTTGACTTAACTACTCTTCATTAGGCAGGGTAATGACAAACTTAGCCCCTGACCCTTGCAATGTAAGAGCTGTGTTAATAGACAATCATGCTCCTATGTAGAGACCCCCATCTGTAAAGGAATGTTTTCTGTGTGAGGGGAGGCAAATATACTCCAGACTTCTCTTATCTGTTACCATAACAGCTGAATGAGGTTCAGGGTAGTAATTGGGGAAGTCTCTTTTACATCAGTTGATGAGGTTCATTTTTTTTTTTTTTTTACAGTCAACTATCTTTGGTAAGGGTAGTTTAGTGCATGATGTACACTTCTGAATTGTAATCCCAGAAATAGCTATTCGGTATGTCTTTTTTCCTGCCCCCCAATTCCAAATTGCCACAAAGAGCTTGTAATCCTGGTCTGTATGCATGGCATGTCTGCAGCCTAAAAATAGCCCCCTCTTCCCAGTTTCTGCAGCTGCTGCACCCAGTATTATCAAGGAAAGTATTTATCCCTCCTCTCCTTTTAGGCATGCTTTTCAGGGTCTGTGTTTGGTGTGTTAGGTGAGGTGGTAGTATTAGATTCTGTTTGCAGGAAGTGGCTGCAGTTTAATATTTTACTGTCGGTTGCAGAAAGATGTGATCCAACACAAGAGTATAAAAAATATGTATCTACCATCAGGCCTGTGTAAAATTAAGCAATATGGAGGTGCCAGCTGCCGTTTTGCAGTCAAGGATGTGATGATGGCAGACTGAGCACTTCACATGCTCCTGCAAAGGCTTTAAAAAAAACAAAGCAAAAATCCAGCACAGACATGCACACCCTGAGGAACTAGAATGTACACAGCATAGATAAATGCAAAGTTTGTGAGTCAGGCTGATACTAGAACTGCTGGATTGGTGGTTGTTGCATCTGTTGGCTGCAGGTTTACAAAGTAACTGCAGCAGTGTTCTCCCTTCCCCCACATACCATCCCTCTTATGAGGAGGTACCTAAACTGTTAGAGCTTCAATTCAGTATTTTGGTTTTACTTGTACAAATACCTGAGCGCCCTTTGGACTTTGCTGTCCAAAGGAATCTTCTCTGTTTCTTTTATGGTGTGTGTAGCATTGGAGTCTAAAATGGAGGCTTTGCAGAAAATGTTTTTAGATTATTTGGAAACACTTTTGTAAGTATTGCCATAAAGCTGACAGGCTGTGCAGTTTGAATTTACAAAAATGTAAATCATTTTACGTGTCAGTTATGCTTTCGCTTGGTTCTTTCTCCCCTTGCTTAAAAATGAATGTTTCAGTCCATATGTGTTGCAATCTTCAGTTAACCTCATGCAACTCGTAGTATTAAAGATTTATTTTGTGGCTGCATTGTACTTGGCATTGTAGAGAATAAGGTGCTGTTGTCATCTCTGTGAGATGGAAGGGATGAAGAGAATGTAGAAATTACAGTTTTGACAGCAAGAGCCAAAAGGAATGATAGTGGATGGTCTTCTGATGTAGGCCACTAGTATCTTCCATTTTATAGATGGGAGGTGAAGCTAAAGAGTGACCTACCAAACGTTTACTGCTGAATTCATGACTGAGCCAAATTTTGAGTCTAAGTCTTCAGACATGGTATCTGTTGTCATGAATAGCTTATATTTTGTCATGTTTCTTTGCAACTGCTTTTCAAATTATCCTACCTTCCTAAAATGCAGATGTATAGGTGTTGATTGTAACCTTTCAGGATTAGTTCAAGGTATGCCATTTATGAACGATGGGACAGGATCTGTTTCCAAAACTACCTAAAGAATATATGCTGGGAAGTAGTAGTAAACATGAAACATTTAGTTTGTGTTTTTAACAAGGAAGTGTAGTTTTCAAGGAAGAGAGGTGGCATAATATGCTTAATAGCTTAGCTTTCCCTCACTAGGTACCCCCTCTTGATGTATTTGGCTATAACTTCCAACATCCTCAGGAAGCATAGCCATGCTGGCTAGTGGTGAAGGGATTTTTAGTCCAAGACATTTCAGGGGTTGGACTAGGCTAATATATTTGAAGCTAAAGGACATAAAATATACTCGTCATGCTCCATGGCTTTGAAATTATGATTATACCATCACATGCATATAATACAAGGCAGACTGTATATGTAGGAAGATGTTTACATTAATAAAGAAAATGAAACACACAAGGTATAGATGCAGGACCTATTCATAATTATTCCTCTGCTGTCCAGCCCTTTTTTTTCCTGGAGCAGCTGTTTGTCGCAAAAAGAACTTTATTTAGTGACCTAGAAAAGATAAACCCCAAATTGTATCCTGCTATATTTTTCCATGCAACTCCTAACTGTTTACTGAAATGAAAGCAGCTACTATCGTGCTCCCTCATAAAGAGGAAGTAGACATTCTCTCTGTGGTAAACAGATGCATCCTGGCAAAGAGGTGCAGTGTTTTCTGCTCTGAATAACATTGTCACCCAATAGTTAAATGTGTGGAGTACATAGTCATTAGTAAATGGAGTACTAGCCCTATCATCTTTAGCTGAAAATGGGAGGGGGGCTGGTAATCTGACTTCAGAAAACAATATAAGGGAGAATAAGTATGTCTAATTAGGACCTAAAGGTGTTAAGATGTGTGCTTGGAGGCAAAGATCAGCACTTACTGGTAAGTATTGCAGTATTCTTCTATGCAAAATCTGGAACTGGCATAGAACTTATCCATTCGTTTCCATTATGTGCTACAGTAGTGTGAGGTTTAGTAATTGGGAACATTATATTTAGTTGATGGAATACATCTTTAACATCCATATCACAATGTTGTATTCTCAGCTCCTTGCTCGAATTGAGCGTATGGAAAGGAGGATGCAGCTGGTGAAGAAAGACAATGAGCGTGAAAAACACAAGATATTTCAAGGATATGAGACAGAGGAGAAGGTTGATGCTGAAGTACCAGAGAAGTTGCCTATAGAATGCCCACCACAAGAGCTGCTGGAGACATCCCAGCCACTGCCTTTGAAACACTTTTCATATGGAAGGAATGGGAAGGGTCATAAACGGTAAAGTTGTTGCTGTTTTATGCTTACAAACATATTCTGTCAAGGTTTCCATCTAGGGCATCTTGAAAACTCTTGTTCTGTGAAGGTTTGGGGAAAGAAGTTTTGGCCATTTCCAGCATTATTTGGAGGAAACCTCAGTAGTTAAACCTGACCTCAAACCTATTCACATTTGTAATGCAATAATGCTCTCACCTATTAGTATCTCTTATGGAGAGTGACTCGCAAGAAATGTTTGTTTCAGTGGCCATCTGTATGTGTAAAATAGTACCTGGGCCCAGAACTTAACTTGCAATGACTTGTTTGTCAATGTTAATGACGAAAGAAAGAGAGCATAGTTAGTGGAGTAGCATGTGGTTTGTCTATAAAATATCTCCAGTTCATTCTTTAGAATCGCCACACAAAAATCTTGGGTATCAAGAATGGGAACCAGTCCCTGGAGAGCAGCTACTACCCAGGTTAGATAGTTACTGCCTAGATCAATAATAATAGTAATAATTAGAATTTTATAATGCTGTTGGATATCCAGAATGTTTTATGTATATTCTCAGTAATCCTTGCAACATTCCCTTAAGGCAGGTCAGTTTTATTATCCCCATACTGCAGATGTGGAAGTAGTTGTGTAAGAATAGCTGAGGTGAGATTTCAGCCAGGGGCTTTTTAAATCATTGAACAAAAGTTTCAAATTATGCTTTTCATAACAGATACAGTACTGCGATGTCATCATATCTGCAACTTGGCAGGAACTGCATGGTAGCGTTTAACTGCAGTTTGCCATAATCCCAAGTGGTGAGGTCCTGATTGTCCTGTTGAACTCATTTGGTGATAACAGCTGGGAAACTCTTAGGTCTATTAATATTTCTCTAAAAATATGAGGTATTGGCAGATTTTGACAGGGGTTCTCATTTCTAAGGAGCTTGACATTAAGAGCTGTAGTTCCTTTGCAATATTTGCTGTTTTAAACTAATTCCCTCTTTTTGCAGAAAGTCTATATTTGGAAGCACTGAGAGGAAAACTCCAGTGAAGAAACTGGTGGCTGAATTCTCAAAAGTCAAGTGTAAAACGCCAAAAGCTTCTCCATTGAAAGAGGAACCCAGCAGTTCTTTAACTGAATCAATTAGCAGGCGCGAACTTCGAAGTCAGGAGACTCCTGAGAAAACCCGATCACTGGGGGACACTCTGCTGAAATCTTCAGCCTCTTTGAAAGGACCCGGGTGCCATTCAAAGGATAAGGGGTCCTGCAGTGAAATAGAAGACTTACCATACCTTTCCACTACTGAAATGTACTTGTGCCGGTGGCACCAGCCACCTCCTTCACCTTTGCGAGAGCCTTCTCCCAAGAAGGAGGAGACTGTAGCAAGTAAGAAGCTTGCTTGTACCTTTGTGGTTGGCCTGATGTGGGTTGGAGGGAGTGTGGAACTCATTCATTTGGGGAGCTGCTTAAGAGTCTGTCAAACACTTGAAGATAGCCAGAGGGCAACGTTTCCCTTCTGAGAGAGACTGTTGCAAGTTCTAGACCTCTGGAGTACGGAAACTTCTGAAACCCACACCCTTCTAGACTAGGTGTGGGCAATGTATGAAGACAATCAGCTACTCTGTCTAGTGATCTGTGCTGATTTTTAAAACAACCATGAAATTTATGGATGCCTTTGCTTACGATGTACACTGTAATGATCCATTTTTGTTAGCAAGCTGCATCACTTCATAATGTCTCATAATGTGAGGAAGATGGGCTTTGTAGAAATGATACGCAGTGTATTAACTTGCTGCTAGGTAAAGATTAAGAAAAGCAACACAAAACAGGAAATGTTGCTCTTGCTGGAATGGCCAGAAATCAGAAGGTATTGCTGAAGTCTTACAGGAATAATTTATGCATTTCTGTCTTGGTTTCCACCTGAGGCAATAGCTGATCTATAAATCACTTTGCTTGTATTTCAGAATAATTTTTCAACATATTTAGTTGAAATGTTCATGGTAATATTTGCTATTGTAGCACCTACAACACAGTCAGTGAGACAAGCTGATGTTGCTTTCAAATCACCTTGCTTGGAGTTCTAATCCAAAATAGAGTTGCACTCATACCTAAGTAGGTCTTTTTTTAAGGGGACAGTGCTGTTGATTATAGAGTAGATCATAGAAGTAAGAAACCAGGGAGGGGCAGAAGAAATATGATTTAAAAACAAGAATGAGCCTCACATTACAGTTTGGGTCTGAACTAGAGGTAGGAGAATATATGGCCTTCTAGATGTTTTTGGAGTGTAACTCCAATCAACACTAGCCAGCAGAGTTGCAATCTAACAATGTCTTGAGAGCAACAAGTTGCCGATCTCTATTAAAAGTTAGACCTAAAAACCAAGGAGACTAGGAGAAGCACATCAGGATACAGAACTCTAGTGTCATGCATAGTTAAAGAATGAGATGATTTGCTTACATTAGGCTCTAACAATAGGGTAAGAAGTCACATGTATGTTTTATGCTTCTAAAAAACTAATATTACATTCTGACATTGAGGCTATAGTATAGTGTAATGTGTTTAAAGAAAACACATAGCAGTAAACCTTTAAAAAGTGTCTTGTATTGAAGTAGAAAAATATTTTGCATTCCAATTCAGTTTTGCAAACAATATAAGAGCAAAGACTTACAGGTATTTGAGGGGATGTCATGTGGAGGAGGGCCATGACCTGTTCTTCCCTACAGTGGAGGGCAGGACGTGTTCCAATGGCGCAAAGCTCAAGGCACCAGGCTGGATGTCAGGAGGTTCTTCCTGACAGTTAGGACCCCTAGGATATGGAATGGGCTTCCAAGGGGTGTGGTTGAGGCCCCATCAGTGATGGCGTTCAAGGAAAGATTGGACAACCACATGTTCGGGTTTACATGAGTGGAGCTGGGGGGCAGACTAGATGACGTGAGAGACTCCTTCTGACTTGTTTCTATGTTTCTAAATGTTTTTATATTCTCAGTTTGCATGATTTACAAAATCACTGCTTGAAGCTTTTATAAAAGTTTAAGTATGTTTTTTGTTTTTTTTTACAAAACAGTTCTGGTGGTGTAAGAGTAATGTGTAAGGGATGAATGAAGGTTTGCTTGTATGACTAGATGATGGGAGGTCATGTATAATGACCATTTTCATCATACAGAGCTAAAGCTCTACTATCGGAACATCTCTGGCAAGCTATATTCCTGGCTGTCATAACCTTTCGTGTACCATTCAAAATTGTGCAAGAGCAGAAAGGCAGCAAACTACCAAACCTGCATCAATAAAATAAGTTCTCCATCAAGGCTTCCCAAATTTGGCACTAAAAATCCCTTATGCAAAATATATTGTCTTCCTTGTGTTTATGTAATTTGCATAATTTTTGCAGTGAGTCTTTCCCTTCATCTCAAGGGAAGGCATATGGCTGACAAGATCATGACAAGATCATGGGCAGCAACCCTGGGGAAAGTGGAGGATCAAAAGAAAAGAGAGTGATGCGCTGTTAAGACTTGGAGATTCTTGTCTTTTGAAAGTGTTGGAAATTATTTTGTTAGAAATGATAGACTTCCAGAATAACAGTTTCTAGGTTGCTTAGAGAGAAGCCATGACAGTCAACATGGTTTACCTTTAGAGTACAAACAACCAAAATACCTTGTAGTCAGAGCCTTTAAGCCTAGTGTTGGCAGAGTTTCAACTAATAATAAAGTTTGGAAACAGTATATCAGTTTGTGGGTGAAATGTCACTAGAAGAACATCTTGATGGGCACATTTAAGTAGAAAAAGGAATTCCTGCAACCAGACAGCGTAGTAAATAGCAAGAATCTATGGGCCTTGGACTGTTGTGTATATGTGTAGTAGCTGCTTGTTTTCACAATTTGCTGCTTTAATTATTGATATACTTTTAGCAAATTGCTGATTTCTGCTATGGCTAACGACTTCTCTATGTAGTTTATTTATTAAGGGGACTTCTATGCCGCCCCATTCGCCAAAGCCTCGGGGCAGTTTACATCCATAAACAAACATCCTTAAAATAATATAAATTAACAGTGTAGTTTACAGCTTCTGAGATTTACAAGGTGGAGAAAAGAGTGTGAAGGCTAAAATGATTGATGGCAACCTTTTTTTAGTCACTTTTCAAACATACAACTCTCCTTCACATGGGTTGAATGAACCTGGGAGTGAACCTATAGCAAAAGATTTAGTGCACTTACTGGTTTTCCCCACTCATTTCCCCTCATATATAATTTATATATTTTTTTTCTTAACTGTCATTTTCTTAGGCACTTCATTAGGTGAGATCTTAGAACAAAATTACTCTGAATTGGAGAGAACACATTTGTAGGATTTTTTTTTCTTTTGGTGTCATGCTTGAGCTTCCTTCACAAAGGAGACTTGCTTAGCCCATACCTGTTAAACTCCCTTATGTCTGGGATCCTGGAAAAGAGCATATGGTGCAGATAATATTCAAAGAAATGTCGTAACATGTGACATTTCATTCTCATCTTTCTTCAACCAGCCACCAGTATTTTTACATGGAGTATCTTGCCAGGTGGAGCTTAGAAGTACATCTGCCCTTGGGGGAGTACTATTGGAATAAAGTTCTTTGGGGAAAATATCCCCCTCTTTAGTAAGCTCTCCACTCACCACTATTTCTTTTTGTGTGTGGAAGTAGAGTTCTTCCTAAAATGTCTGAAAAAACAGTTCTAAACGTTCTTGGTTCTTCCCAAAAAAATGAATGACTTATAAGCGTCAAGATCTTGTTTGATGTCGCATTTTTGATATAACTCCATCTGTTTCACTAACTTGAACCTATGCTGAATTGAAGTATCTTGCAGTTCTGTTTTTTATGTAATGGCAAACAAGGCACATTTCTTAGGGAAGCTATGAAGCAATTTCCTTCCCCAGATTGAGAAAGGGCTTGCTTTTTTCTTTTCAGTAGTTTGTGGAAACTTCTTCCCCTTCCAAGCTGCTCGTTCTTAAAATCCAGCTGGCATGTGCAGAATTGAACAAATAGAGAATCTGGAATCTTAATCTGTGCCCCATGCCTTCCTTTTGCCTCAGTCTTGTCTGTTGGACCTGTTCCTGATGTCTTGTACTGGGAACAGGAAGGGATCTGGCGAATGCTTCTTATGGGGCCAGCTCATATTAAGATAAGTGTGTGCAGTCTTCAAATTTGCTTTGCTGAATCTGTTCAAAGATCTGTCTAGTCCAGCTGTGTGCCTCCAACTGTACAACCTGTTATTCCTTGAAAACTCACAAGCCAGGCATAATGAAAATAGCTACTCCCTGTTACGTACCTCAAATACCTGGAAGTCTAGTGCTCCAAACAGAGGTTTCTCTCTTGGGTAATATGGGTAACAGTCATCTGCCTTTATGAATCTGTCTAATCCTTCTTTAAAGCCATCTCAGTGGTGCTCACAACATCCTGTGGCAGGGGAGCATATTGCAATACATACAAGCTTTTTGACAATCCATCAAGGTTTACTAGGAGGGATTTAAACTTTAAAAAGTCCCTGTGGCTTGTTGTATATACGGCTTTGGAAAGTCTCTGTGCTAAATCAACCACTGGCTTGAGTACATTGCATAAACTGCTAAATGGTCAGCAGGGCAGTCTTGAAAGCAAGCATCCTTTTAGAAGCTTGTTTGCTAGAGGAAAATGTGATACTAATCTAAAGAGTAACCAGCAAAGGATTAAAACAGGTTTGTAAAATAGTCAGCTGAATAGTTAGTTGTGGCAAGTAAGGACCAGCTCCAGATAATTAGACAGGGAGATTATTGTAAACAGGGAGCAAATTGACACTTACCCTTTCAGTCCATAAATAAATCACATCATGACTAATATAGCTATTTATGGGAAAATTGACTTTTGTGGGCTAGTAACAGCTATGGTGGGGTGGACACTTTGTGGCCCTTCTGTCAGCCCCAGCCAACATAGCCAATAGTGAGGATGATGGCAGTTGTAGGCTACAACATCTGGGTGGCAACAGATTACCCACCCCTGGAATTTATTAACTCTGAAGGATGGGGCTACAGTCAGTCATTCACAGATTCTTTTAATTAGGTAGTTCTTCGAAAGAAGACCTCTGATGTGTATTGTGTGATAATACTGTTCTGAGGAAAATCCAGTCTGAAATACGGTTCCTGAAAAAAGCAGTGGGTTTGTCTGATTCTGGTCTTAAAGCATACCAACTACTAAAATGGTCCTTGTAATTCAGCTTTTGTTCGTTAGTATTCTAATATACTGTAGGAGGCTTGATTTTTATTACGCTGTTCATGTTAAAGAATTGCTACTATGTATTCTTAGCATATAGTGTAATGGTTTAACCCGATGTATTTTAAAAAATACCAAAGCCAGTTGTTTCTCATTACTGAATAACTATGGCCTAGTGATGTTCAGGCTGGAGTGAAGAACTTGAGTATGGGCCCTTGGCCTCAGCAGGTATTTAAGAATATATTGGAATAATATGTAGCCCATTCTAAACATGGACATGTTTTGAAGCACCGTGAAAGCGCTGAACCCCAAGCCAACATGTGAACAATACTGGAAAACTGCAAGACCTCTAAGAACCAGGACCTTATGGACAAGGTCCCATATGTGTGTGGATTGGTGAAAATGGGAGAAATGCAGACAAGCAATTAATGCTACTGAAATGTTTGATTTCACTGTAATTTCATAACAGATTGTTCACTGTAATTTCATAGCAGTTAGATTGCTTATGTTCTCAGGTGTTGATTTCTTCTCTTTAGAAATAGCAGTTTTGACACTTTTCTTCCCTTTCCAGTTCCATCATGGAGGGACCACACAGTAGAACCTCTGAGAGACCTGAATCCTTCAGACCTTTTGGAGGTATGTCAGTGAATAAATAACATTAAAGTAAGAATCATAGCTCTGGCTGAGAAAAAGGAAGATAAGGAAATGACGGTTGAAGAAGGAAGGAACTCTGCAAAGCTCCATCTTTGGCCATTGGAAATTGGACAGCCATAATACTGTTTACAAATATTCACCAGATACTGTCGCCATGTTTACCAGTTATTTTTCCTCACAGTTATTTGTTCTTCATTGATGTTATACAGAACATCTTCTGAAATCTGAATTAGAACTAGGAAGTTTTCATCTTCAACAGATTTAACTTTAGCAACCAAGTATTTTAAATAGTTTTGTGATAAGGTAGCACAGGTGTTGTTTTTACCTGCACTCCAAGTATGACAAACCAGGCTGTCTGCCTCTGGGTAAATCAGCTAGTCATCTTCAGCATTGTCTGCTTTCTTGGTAAGTCTTCAGGGTATATGCCGCCCTTTGTATAAGATGGGCAGCCTCTTAATTTGCTGAGGCTTTGTTATAGGGTTGCATATGTAAGATTGATTTAAAAAAATATTTTGCCTTGGATCAGTATCAATGTTTTCAACACCTGACCTTCTGTCTGCTTCTTGAGAGGATGTTTAGGAGAAATTCAGTGAGTTGTTGACATTGCCTTTCATGCTGTTGGATCAAATGATCTTTATTTTGATTTTTTTGTTAAAGAAGCTGTAAATCAAACTTCGAGATAACTAGAATTTATTATGAGGAGTGGTTATTAAGACCCCTATTGCTGTTGTGTAACCTATGTTTTCATATTATATTTTCTTGCTGCTTGTAAATTCTAAGGAAGTAGAAAAACAGTACCACAGATACAACCCTGCTCACTCACATATTTTGTGCTTTATGGTAGCTTAAGCAGCAGTTCTAGCAGCCTACTTGTCTGCAAGTTTTTTTAATTCCATATAGTGAAAACTTAGGACATGCTTATGTCTTTTACTCAAAACCTCCCAGATCTGCCAATTAAAGAGTGATCCTGCAAAGCCAGTCAGTTGTAATACCTGTGTGTATGAGACAACTATTGCTGAATTTCCATTTTTTTAACCTAGTTTTGCCCATGAAGGACAAACCAAAACTTTGCTGCTGCTTCCTAACTCAGGTGTCTGCTGGGCTGCTTTCTCTAATTTGTGGAATTCTGCTTCCTTATCCAACATGTTTCAGGTTGCCCACCTTTTTCTGGCAGTCCTTTGTGTCTTAGTTCTAGTGCAAGAAGTAAATGTTTAGAAAGCAAGACTTTCATTGTTGCAGAGTAATTAAATTAAAGGCGCATGAGCCCTGCCCAAAGAAAAACTAGTGGCCCTAACAACTTTCATTTCTATCTACTCCCACTCCAAAGACAGTATGATAAAAGGAAGATAAAGTTTCCTTACCACAGCAACTTAACTGATAGCAAGGCTGATTTAAGTGTCTACTGCCAGGAAATGCAAGGAAATGTGATTCTCAGTAGGTCATGTAGAATCAGATCTAAAAGGTATAGTTGATAATGTTAACTGTGTATTTGCTTTTTTTAAAAAAATATCCTTTTTAAACTTTTCACAGAACTTAGATGACAGTGTCTTCTCCAAACGGCATGCAAAATTGGAATTGGATGAAAAGAGAAGAAAAAGGTGAGATGGGGATGCAATCACCTGCAAGCAGCATACATAGGCAACCACAGCTCTCTGAACACTTTGCCATTAACTGCATCATTGTAAACCTGTCCTGATAAGGATTGTATCAACTGCAAAAAAGGCTCTTTGCAGCTATTAAATCATAGCTCCTAAATTACAGCTGTTGGTTAAGATTTGGAAGGGTAAATCAAAGGTTCTGTGATCCAGTCATAATACAGTGACTCAGGATAACCCATTGAAATTGGAAAGCATCGGTTTAATGCACGAAGAAAAGTGTTTTCATGCTATTTGTAATTAACCTGTGGTGCTCCTGACCAAAAGATACTGTAACAGCTTTTAAAAATAACTAGAATAGTGGAAGATGGTGACTACTAGCTGCAACATAGGTGTCTTCAAGTAAAGGCTGGACATGCACATGGTAGCATGCCATGAGCGGAGCAGGCTGGAACTGGGAGTCAGACAAGATGGCCTGGGAGGTACCTTCTAACTCGCTCTGTTTCTATGTTTCGAAGTTAAAAACTCCTTTCTTCCCTCCCTTGCCAAGGTGGGATATTCAACGGATCCGGGAGCAAAGGATATTGCAACGACTGCAGCTCAGAATGTATAAAAAGAAAGGAATTCAGGAATCTGAGCCTGAAGTTACCTCATTTTTCCCAGAGTCAGATGATGGTGAGTAATTTTAAAATAATGTATTGCAGGGTCTCATCCCTGCAAAAGCTTGGGCTGGGTAGGACAGGTAGTCCTGTTATAAAAAAATAGACATTATCCAAATGCAGATAGATATGTTACGTTTTTCTGTATCCTTTTTCATTCTAGTTGAAAGCTTGCTGATCACCCCTTATTTGCCTGTTGTAGCATTTGGCCGACCATTACCAAAATTAACTCCACAGTAAGTATGCCAATAGATGAATTACCTATATCAAAAGACGATGTGTTTTTTTAAAGAGCAAAAGAGGTTGAATTGTAGGCATTTTCTGTTTGAGGGGGTCATCTTGTTCCTGCTTATGCTGCTTTTAAATTGTAAACTGTCCTGAGACAGTTAAGCTAAATTGGTACGGTATAGAAATGTTTTAAATGAATAAATATACAAGGCATTATTTGCCCCTTTTATCTTCCAGACAAAGTTAGATTCCACAGTTGCAAGTAAGAGTTGATTTTTTCAGTCAAGTAAAACCTAAGAGCACTAGGATTCAGAATTTATGTATCATAGGTAACCTAATTATTTATGGAACTTAAGTATTGTTTTATTAGATTTCCATCCAACATGGTTGCAATGTTTTTAAACCCAAAGCCCAATTTAAAAAATCAAGAATAATTAGGTGGTAATCTGCCACTTCTTCTGAAACCTTGCTGGCAACTGCGGAAGCATACAAAGACTTTTTTGGGGGAAATCTAAATTACGGATGAGCCATTTGCTCATGGAAAACAGATGGTGAATTCTTGAGGTGAAGATCTGAAGAATCATATCTTTATGCCCCAACGAAGATAGATCTGCAATTTTGGTTAATGTAAGGAGAGAAAAAGGAACAGTGCTCTGTATCAATGGTATGAGACACTAAAACAAACATAATCTGAATCACTTTATCAAACAAATGTTGTTGATGCATCCTAGTGGGTAGTGCTGTTAAGGCCAGTTCAGGAGTTTAGTAATGAAGGGCTGAATATGACATAGGCATTTCCTATATTTGTGAGTCGGTGATGATAAATAATCTTGAAACTCGGGGGCAATTATACAATGTTGATGAGGAACCTAGCACAAACCTGAAAGCTAAATATTGGAAAAATTAGGAAATTCATTATGTAATCATGATATTGTCATTTGCAAATTCAAAGATATAGTCAGGTTAGGATAACATTGCCACTGTATTAGCAGTGGAAGAAATTTGTGGTATTTTGAAATAGATTTTTCAGGGAAGTAATGCATTTGAAAAGCTTGTCAGTATTGAAATATATCAGTTCTATTAAAAATGCTCACACATCACAAGAATGTGAACATGTCAGTATGCTGGTACATGCTGTATCTGCTCCAGGAGTAGTAAAATAAAACTTATCTTTTTTTTAACTGTGATGTATAAACAGGGGACTCTGATTTGTTTTGCTCCAAATGAAAAAGAGTCCTTTGCTATGGGTTCTTCTTATGACTCTGGCTTGTCTTTTGTCTTGAGAAAGACAAGCCAGAGCTCCCAGTTTACTTATCACAATCAACAAATAATAAATAAAAAAATAAGTAATTTGTTTAGCCACTCCCACTTTCATGAGGTTCTGGCTGGGAAAGATTGACAGCACACTAGCTTGTTCACAAAAAGTCAGAATGCTTGGAGTTCTGCCTTACTGCGATGTGTTAGTGGGGTAATTGTATGGAGAAAATGTGACACTTAAGTATCAAACTATGATAATTGGCCCCAACTCCAGTAAGGCAAGAAACGGCAAGTAGCATTAGTCCTTTCCCCATTGAAAGAGGCATACAGGAGATGGGACTCACTGTCTGGGTTCAGACAACAAGATAACCCACAGTCCAGGGTTGAGCATGGGATGTTGTTGAACCATGGGTAGTAGTTGGAACATAGGCTATTTTATTATATTTACTGATTTTATTGTTACTGGTTTTACTGTGAATTGAAAATTGTTCTAATTGTCTTGCATATGTTATGAGCCACCCAAAGAGCCTTATGGCTAATGGGGTGGCATACAAATTGAACAAATAATTAGTAGGTTATTGTATTGTCTGAAGCCAGCCAAGATAATCATTATGAGCAACCCACAATTCACAATGCAGTGATAAACCATGGGTTCTCTTTATGGGTTTTTCATGGTTAAGAAGCTATGGCTTCTTATTTCAGCTGAGTTTAGAGAACATTCTAGCGTGCATTTCAACAATTATCTATGGTTTATTGACAACCTATATTCAGTTCTTGAGCATGGACTACAGCTTTGTGTAATCCCAGTCAATGAGGAATCGGGATGACAAATAGAGGGTGTAGGAGGGATGCCACTGAAGTAAAGAAAATGGACTTCTTCCTATCTTCTTTTTCCCTACTATGTATAAACCTCTAGCGTGGGTCCACACAGGGCCAAACTAACCTTTCTAAACATACACAGCTTCACTGCTCAGATAGGGTTATTTTTTTGCAGTATAAACACTAATGGCCCCAATTTGGAGTGTGACTGCAGCATTTTGAGTGGGGGAAGTCAAACTGTACCTTTTCTTATTCTACAACAACCTTTTTAAGGTGTGGTGACCAGAATCTGTACACAGTATTCCAAGCTGAGTTTCACCAGTGACCTGTATAAGAGCATAGTGATATTGGCAGTTTTATTTTAACTTCCATTTCTAATGCAATGCAACAAAGGAGAACACAGCATTAGGGCTGTAAAAGATAGTGATGGTATAACTCAGTCTTCCTGAACCTGCTGCTCCCTAGAAGTGTTGGACATGATGTACCTCATGAGAGTTGTAGTCCAAACATCTAGGAGGTCCCATTATTTATTTCATGTCTATACTGTCAAAAAACTAAAGCTTTCTGGACAGTTAACAATAATTCACAAATACAAATCCTATAAAATGCAGTACATTTTTTCCCAATATACAAAGCTTGAAAACAAACAGTTGAAACAATTTCAGTTCTTCTAGACTGGTTAGAAGTAGCTGACATAAATGCCTCATCATGCCATTAAATAACTTGGAAAAGAAGAGTAGACTTGAGTAGTATTTGTTTCATTACCACCCAATAACTGAAGCTCTCTGGGCAGCTAGCAAAAATCCCTACAATGCAATAAAATATAATACAGAATACAAGAAAAGCAGCCAAAATTATTCAATACAAAATTTAAAACAACTTGAACTACACGTTCAATACAACAAGACTTGCTGAAAAAGAAAAACAGTTTAAAGGCAGCCCCATGTAGAGTGCTTCACAGTAATCAAATGTGGAGATTACCAGAGCATAGATTACTGAAACCAGGCTATTCCTATGCATACAAGGGTATAGCTGGGCCACCAGCCAAAGCTTGTAGAGCCATCTACAAACAACATCTCAGTCTTGCCAGGATTGAGCTTCTGTTTGTTAGTTCTCATCAAGTCCACTGTCACATCCAGGCACCAGTTTAGCACATCCTCAGCCTTCCTTGATGGAGATGAAAAAAGAAGTAGAGCTGTGTGTCATCAGCCTATTGTTGGCAATGCACCCTGAACCAGAGAGCCCCACTCAGTAGTTTCATGTAAATATTGAAGCGCATAGGGAACAAAATTCACCCCTGGGAATCCTCATGCTGGAGAATGCATGTGGATGAACAGTATTTCCCAAGAACCACCTTCTGGAGCTTGACTGTTCAAGTAGGAATAGTTGTATTGCAACACAGTACTGCTACTTTTAGCTTAGTCACCCTAGAAAGATAGATGTCTGTGTTATGAAAAGATGCTGAGAGATCCAGGAATATCAACAGGGTCACAATTACCATGTCTCTTTCTGACACAGGTCATGATACAGGGTAACCATAGCTGTTGCTATGCTAAAACTTGGCTTGAACCCTGACTGAAATGGATCCAGATCATCAGTCTCATACAGGAGTCCCTGGAGCTGGTTGGCCACTATCCACTCGGGGGCCTTGCCCAGGAAAGGAATGTTTGCCATTGGCCTAAAGATAATCTTCTGGGTCCAGGGATGATTTTTTTTTTTTTCAGTAGTGGATTCATTGCCCCCTTTTTCGTAGAGCCTAGGACCACTCCCTCTCTCAAAGCATTGGTTATCCTGCTGCCCAGCCAGCTATTCTCTCCCTGCTAGTTTTTATAAGCCAAGAAGGTCAAGGATCCAGTATGCAAATAGCTGCATGACCTTCCCAGGCAGCTTGTCAGCATACTAAAGCTGTACCAAATGAAACTCCTCCAAGAAAACTGGATCAGTCTGTGTACTGGATATCGCACCAGATTAAACTATTGTAAAACTGAAGGCTTACGTCCTTGCAGATAAAGACAAGGGATTTTTTATCTAGAAGTGTCTAACAAATATGTTACAGCAGGTTTATACTGTCCTTAGACCAGCATGTGATGGACCCTGGACAACCCTGAAAAGCTGTGCTAGGTGCCAGATAGGAAGCAAGGTGCTACCCTCACTTTCTTAAGTCTACCTGACTATGGATATATCAGATTTTGCATCCATATGTATTCAGGCTGCCTCCTATGTTGTTTTGTTTACTATCAGCTTCAGGGTATACCATAGAGCCATACAACCTCTACTACAAGAGGGTGTACAGGATAGATAATGTCAACTGCTTGGGTCATCTTCATTCCACAGAGAGATTGGTGTTTTGATGGCAACATCAGTGATATCAACCCCCTTAAAATGCTTTGGAAACCATCTGGATGCATTAGCCTCTGGGTTTTTTCTTAATAGGTCTCCCACCCTTGCAGAAGGGAAAGGCTATCAGTTTAAATCTCTCAGCAAGCAATGACCAAGGACTGAATCAGAGCTCCCAGAATACCATCCCCATGCCCAGCCAAAAGAACCCAGATCCGGAGGGTGCACTGCCACATATGTTGAGCTGGTGACATGCTTGAGACAGTCCCATGGGTATCATGGGAATTAGGCAAACCCTAGGATTGGGATGGCAATCTTGTCACACTTCTTTGCCATTCTGTTTTATTTGAAACTTTAGAACCATGAATTCTGTGATTTCTTCTCTTCAGACTGTAGAGGTAAGGTACTGAAAATGTGTTGATAAAGTAATATGTTATTTGTTTGTGGCCCAATATCTGAGACCCTCTGAGAAGTTAGCAAAAGTTAAAACATAACAAGAAAGAAAGGGAAAAAATAATGTAAGACAAGAAAACCACAGCAATAAAAGCACAGCACAGAGATGTAGCAGCAGTACAGGATAAAATGCAGTATTAACACTAAAGTTAGAAAATTAACTATTAAAATACTGGGAAAATAAAAGGCTTTTCACCTGGTACCAAGAAGAATACAGAGTAGGCTCCAGGCCCTCCCCTTTGGGGAGTTCATTCCAAGCCAGGGTGCCACAGCTGAAAAGGCTTTCACCTGGTAGCCATCTTCCTTACTTCTTTTGGAGGGGGCTCCCAGAGAAGGACCTCTGAAGATGACCTTAAGGTCTGGGTAGGTACATATGGGATGAAGTGTTTCTTCAGACAATCTAACATAGCATTAGTTATGTTAATAACTAGTACTTTGGATTAGGCCTGGACCTCAACTGGCAGCCAGTGCAGCTGGAAGAGGCATTGCTGCCCTGTCTTACATTATTACACTGGATAGCTGATGGAAGCATAACTAATGGTATCTTTTTCGGTTCTCCCTAAGAGCTGCTTATTTATTTCTGTGTTTGATAGTAACAATCTCATTTTCTGTATTGTAAAATACTGTGCAAATAATTCTCTCTCTATGGCTTATGCCATATTTCTACTGTATTCCTCTGTACCAGATATGTGGTATTTTTACCAGTCTTGAAAAAGAACAGCAGTTTGAATACTAGATGTTCTCTAACCCTTCATCACTAACCATTTTCCATGGGCCATCTTTTGTCTGATAGGAACTTTGAACTGCCATGGCTGGATGAGCGAAGCCGTTGTCGGTTGGAGATGCAAAAGAAACAGACGCCTCATCGGACATGCAGGAAATAGGTGTGTCCAACTAGGAGAAATCTCTGCCACAATTGTGCTCCTGTCCTATTTGGCAGAGAATCATATACGTTCTGTCATGTCAGTCTTTCCCCCTTGATGTAAATTCTTGTTCATTATAAATATTTTTTATACTTACATATAATTTCTTTCTCTTTCCCCCTCAAAACTTTTCACCTGTTTTCCATTTTCCTTTCCATGGTAGAAAGTACTGAAGGTTTTTGTTAGGACAATATTAGCAACTTATGGTGCACTTAAGTTGAGCTGTACTGGACAGCTGCAGCTGGCACAGTCCATTTTAGAGTAGCCTTCTCATACGCAATGCTCTCCAGATTTGTTGGAGTACAAGTCCCAGCATCTTCTAGCTAGCCAAGGAATGCTGGAGTTGTAGTCCAACATACTTAAAGGACACCAGGTTTGGGAAGGCTTACTTAACAATTATGAAATGTGGACAAGCATAAACATTTGATAAAACTGTTCTCATTTACAAGTTTTCATGCACGTGAAGCCCACCTCTTAACATTTAAAAAATATTTAGTCTACTAGTTAAGGGCCTTAAAATGGGGGTGGAGGGATTACCCATCAAAGGACATTGGGAAAACAGACATTTTCATTTGACCTGCTCTTCTGAAAAGCATCCACATCTGGATCCATATATTTCCTTCTGCCTCATTTTGTTCATCCTATGCTGCTGTGGCTCTGATTTTTTTAATGGTTCTGTCTTACCTTTTTCATGCCTTCTGCTTCTGATTAAAGTACAATGGGTCATTAAGTCTTGACTGTATAGCACTGCTAGTAAAGGGCTGCATGCCTTGACAATTGTGTCACACTTAACAGAAACCTGTGTTAACAATGCAATGCCAGCTTGTCTTCAGATTTTTCCTGGTTTATTTTACCAGCAAGCTATTTGCTTCTTAGTTTCCCTCTGTCAAGTACAGTGAGGGCTAAACTGTTGGCTTTAAAAAACAAAGTTTTGTTTCTTAATAGAAACGTTGAGTGTCAGCACTACCAAACATGCTGGCATTTGCGGACCGGACAGATTGAGTAGCTACTCATTTCTTGGTGCTGCCAGGAGGCATAACTCTCAAAAACAGTTCTTCCCAACCACACCAAAGGCTCCAGGCTATGCTTCTTGCTTACTATATGGCGGAAGAACTTCCTTTCTTCTCCAGTTCAAACAAAGCCAACCCAGAGGGAAGGACAACAATGAAAAAGGTAAAAGGTTCTGTCCTTCCACCCAAAGTGCAAGCAATACAAAGGATTGTGTTTCTTCCCTCTACATAAAGTCCATTGCAACAGACTTTGTATATACCTTCAGGTTAGAAATCAGTAGAGATTAAAGTATATTGATACTCTTAGCTACATGATGTGATTCTCATGGGTGGGAACTAGCCTCCTGCATTCCCCACTTTCACTTACATTGTACTAAATCAGAATAACAGCTGAAACTTTAATTTGTATTTCTGAAGCTTGGCTGGCATTTTTAAAGTAGATCCTAGATCTACTTTCGTCTTTTCCTGAGAACAGGGAATTCCTTTGTTAATCCCACATGCTCATTTGCCTACTTCATACAGTTTGTAGGAAGCTGTCTGTGTGTGTGTGTGTGTGTGTGTGTGTGTGCACGCGTGCGAGAGTGTGCATGTGCACGCTTACAGGACAAGTGAAGCTTAACGTATTTGCACTGAGTGAAACTTCTAGAAAAATGGGCTAGGTCATAATTTCCTAGATTGTTGAAAATCCCAGTGCAGAATGACAGCTACTGTTTTTAAATTCTAAAATGGTTGTATAAGGCAGGTACTTTTGTTTTTCTCTGCCAACCTAAAGATACTTCCAGTAGTTGTTGCTTTTTTTCTGGGTTATATTCCCTGGGAATTCAAAAGGATACATTTTTTCTGCAGAAGGTAGTATGGTCAAAGTGAATGTGGTTATAAGGGCAAAAATATGACTTAAAGCTGGAAATGGGAAGAACAGAGTCTTTCTTTTGTCATGTAGCCTGTATAGTTCAGGTAGAGCAACGCTTGCCTAATTTTACTTTAAATAAGGCTGTATTTGGATCTTTTGCTTTTAAGCATGCCAGCATGCATCCTTAAGTGCTTTGCTTTTTTTTTTTCCTTTTTGTCCGTTGCAGTTGCAAGCCTGGATGTATAAAACAAGCAAGCCTTAATTGAAGGCTTTTTGAAGGCATTGTTGATTTCAGAGCTTGACCCTGCTAATGCTTAAGCCTACTTCCTGCTCTAAACTAAGCACAAAGAAAAAGATTAGTCTTGAGTCTAAATCCAATTTTATGGGGAGGAAAAGGTTCTGCTTAGCTCAAAGCATATCTATTATCAGAAATGCCACTGTCTGTTCCTGTAATATAACAACAAAGTATCCTATCCCCACCAACAAAATGCTGATTTTCAAGAAGAAATCCATTTAATACTAACATATGCAACTTATACCTAGCAAGAGGATGGGTAAATGTTGGAAGTAGGTAGGGATTGTACAAAGAGTTTGCAGTTAATACTAGCCAGAAGTGAGCTAAAAAAGTCTTTCTCCCCATAGGGGGTTACAGCACTGTGAAATTTGTAATGAAGAAAAAGTCCTTGCTAATTAGATCAAATATTTGGTTTAAAACAAAACATTACTTTCTTTAAACCAATTTAATGGTAGTTCTAAAATAAAAAGTCTTGATTCCCAACCCACCCCCACTTTGGTTTTTCTGCCCTTTGACATGTGGTTGTCTGCAAATGCATCCTTTTTTATACAATTTTAAATATGTAAAATTGGTTGTCTTGTAAATATCTTATAAAGGAAAAGTTTGTAAATACCAAATTTGTGGCTGTTAATGTTTGTTACTTTTTTGCTTCAGTTCATTTAGGTTTAACAGTGTTAACAGGGAGTATTAAAAGAGAAATTCTGCTTGTATGTTTAAACAAAATTGAAACAAATCCTTTTTTACAATAAAATGAAGAGTATTAATGGCTTTGTCATGTGTTGTACCTTGTCTGAATAGTTTTGAGGATCTGCATTTATCATCCAGCAAATAGAAAAGGTGTACCTTCTGTAATTTTGATCCTTTTCTCCTTAGAGATACTGTAAAATTGAGGTATGTAGCCTTTATCTGCTTGATAATCTTAGTCAGAATGTTATGTATACAGAGAAATTAAATAGTAGGTCCAAAAGGCCATGAAAGGCAAAGAGAAGTAGTAAGCCTATCACATCTCTATGTAATACTCAAATATATAAATGACAGCTTTCCAACAACAGTCCTGAGAACAATAATAGATCTCATGCTATGCATTTGATAAACCACTATTACTTCCATAGTGGGAAAGGTATCAATAACAAAGAGACTCCAAACTGAATAAACTTGTTAAAACCTGTAAACAACTAAAAACATCATCCCATGAGATCAAAGATTAAAAGTCCAGTAAAAATAAAAGGTTTTCTTCTTCTAAAAGACGTAAGATTTTGCTTCAGTTTAACTTTGCTAGGGAAGTTGCCACCAAACCTTCTCAGCTGTAGCTGCTCATGGAAGCTGAGGAAGACATTCCATGTTAGAGGTGGAATGTGTAGGTCTGGTTGATGGACATCAAAAAGACTGTAGAGGTGAAAGAAGTTTAAAAGGACAATTAAAATTATCAAGGAACTGGAGCAACTCCCCAGTGTGTGGAAAGGCAACATTTGGGGTTTTCACTTTAGAAAAACAGTTTTGAGAAGACATGATAGAGATATACTATTAATATTAGGCAGTGTGTAGATAGGGTTTTCAAGTGAAGCTGAGAAACTCAAGACCAAAAAATAATGACACTGCAGTTAAAACTGGAATTCTCTGCCATAGGATATAACAGTCACTGGCTTAAGTGGCTTTAAAGGTATCATGCCAATTTATAAGGCTATCCAGTGGCTTCCAGGGTTAGTGCTTATGTGCTTTTTCCAGAATCAGAGGCCTGTGCATACTAGTTGCTGAGCAACAATGGTGGCTGGATGGATGGCCACTGTGGAAACAGAATGCTGAACTAGTTAAGACCTTTTGCATATCCCAAATGACTGGGTATAATAAGGTTCAATAGTCTCCCATTGCATTCTCTGCATAGCGATTTTTAATGAGAGATTTGTTTTAGCTTATTCTGCTGTAGTTTGACCAGTTTGTCACTCAGCTGAAAGAGCATGGTTGGCAGCTGATGGATGTATTGTACGTGGATATGTAATGAGCTACTAATGTTAAGGAAGAGCCAGTGGGGCATAGTGGTTCGATGTTGGACTGAGACTTAGGAAATCTGAGTTCTAGCTCCACTGACTTGGAACTCACTGCGTGACCTTGGACTAGTCACATACTCTCAGCATCAACTACTTCACAGGGCTCTTGTTGTGTGTATAAAAGGGGGATCAGGAAAACCTTGCAAGCCACCTTGTGTTCCTTGCAAAAGGAAAAAAGGCGAGATATAAATTCAATGTAATAACAATATAGCTGATGTTTGGCTCCGGAACGGAGTTGCCTTAATAATAAAAGAGTTCAGAATCAGCACTGAGGTTTTAAGACCGGGCAACTCTAACCTCACTTCGACTGCTTCTGCATCGTTCTTTTCTGCCTCAAATCTAGCACCTAATCCCTTCGGGAGACTAAAAAATACATCCTCAACTGTGCTAGCGTTACAAGATACGCAGAAATGACGTCACTGTCGCAGTGGGTAAACGTAAAGGCAGAGGAGGAGAGATTTCTTGCGGATTACGCACCTCCTCCATACTGCAGTCCCTGGGCACGTAACGCTGTTGCCAAGCCGTTCTTTGCCTCTACACGTTAAAATGAAGAGCCGCTCGCCCGTGACGTCACCTATTTGTCATGCCTTGATTGGCGCAAGTTGTCTTCATTCCCTAGACCTTTTTTCTCCATAGACTATGTTTCCTGTCGTTTCTTAGGCGTTCGATCGCAAAGGATTCTGGGTAGAATGGGAGAGGTCAAATCGATCCCGCAGTGCTCGGCGGGGATTGTAGTTCTTTCGTAGCCTGCGTCTTCTGTGTTTACCCGTCATCCTCCTTGCGCCACCGTCTCATAACCGTTTCGCTTCTTGTTTCCACTGTTGGGTTCTGTCAAGATGGCGGATCGTAGGAGGCAGCGCGCTTCGCAAGATAGCAGCGACGATGAGTCTGATTCGCCTTCTGGAAGTACAGCCCCTTCCCCGCGCGGTGCCCATCGCCTTGGCCTGGCTGGAACGGGAGGCAACGGTGGTGGTACAGCCGGTACTGAAAGTGTGGAGGTGGCGGTGACCGTGGGAGTTAGCCCGGCCGACTCGGAATGTGTGAGTGGAAAGAGTTGGGCGGGGAAGCGGGAAAGGAACAGCCCTCTGATCGATGCTTCCCCGGCCGTGCCTTGCTTTCATCGGCAGTTAATCGGAACACAGGCCTCACCTTGGCTCTTTTCGCCACATAAAGACGCGCGAATGGTTCTGAGGATGTGCAGGGTCTTTTGTGCCTCCTGTTGAGTGACCTCAGCCAGGGTCCAAATGTTCCAGACTCAAATAATGTAGTTTTTGGGAAAACCTGAATTTTCAGTGCCTCGCATTTATTTTGGGTTCCCACTAGAAATGAAAGAAGTGGCCACTCTGCTAATAAGGACCTCTGAACATATGCGGAGTGATTCACTACTTAATAGCCTGAGTTTGTTTTCAGCTATGTGGGATTTGGTGATAAAATATCTGAGGTGTGCCTTATCCCTGTTTTCTTTTGCTCCTACTTTAGAAATTTAAAACAGACCTTGATATTGATACATGTTTCTGAGAATGTACAGAATCTTGCTTGTGTCTATGGCAGATAGATTTTTTAAACCCAATTTCACATTTTATTTCTCAGGCTTATAGCATCTTTGCTAGTATCTCTTGTTATGTAATTTGTTGACATCTTCCGCAAATTCAGCTAGGGTTTTTGGCTAATTTTGTTTAATAGAATGGTTCTCAGTTTTGCTCCTATTTTCCTAAGAGTTAAGATGGAAGCCCCAAACTCCAATCATGCTGTTACAGGCTTCAGACTTATGTATATCCAGGGGGTAAGAATAATCCCAACTGTATCTTGGCATATCTGGTTTATTTTAAGTGCCAGTGTAGACACTTGAGTGGTAGGATGAAAATTACATAACTATCAGGACAGGAATTAGTGACTGCTATGTTTCTGCCATCTGCTTTCTTGACTTCCATGTTCATTTAATGCATGATTCTCAAGATAAGGAACTGATGGACCCCAACAGATTCTTGAAAGCAAGGGAATGTCAAGAAATAAAGGCACAATTGCAGAGAATGGCAGCAGAAAAATCAGTCCAGTCAAAAATATGTGAATGGTTATAAAAATAAATTGTACTAAGCAGTAGCTACAGGTTCCAACTTGTTTCAAACATTAGCACTGATTTCTTAGGGCTCTTTTCTTTCTTTTTTTCAGAGGAAGTTATTGATGTTCTGTGTCTTCTATGGTGAGGGTATCCTTGTCCTCTAAAATGCATTTGAAAAAAGCACTCTTTTGGGGGAGGGGGGGTGATGGAAGAAGGGAAAAGTTCTCTGTCCTTCTGGAACATCCTGATACTTCACTCACTTGTGTTGAAGGCATGCAGAAATCACATCAGAAAAAGTTACCTTAAATTAGCCTTCTAACCTCCCTGCAAATTAACAGACCCCAGTCTCCTATTCATGAAATGATCTGTTGGCAGGCAACTTCCTGCCTGCTGCTTAGACATGAGCTCCTTGCAGTGTTTATCCAGGTAATACAGAACATCCTTCAAAAGTTGTCTCCCCATTTATTTATTTATTTACTTACTTACCAATCATTCAATTAGTCAAGCTCTCAGAATGATTTACATAATATTAATTTCACACATGTAGTTATAAACAAACAATGCCTCACAACAGATAGTCTGGCTAACTTCAGTTACTCAGTTTTCCTGCAGACACTGCAGCTAGACAAGATTGTCTCTACCCCACTGCAATTGCAAGTGCCTTTTGGCTTGTTGTGTCTATTTCCCCCCAAAAGATCACTCTCCACCTTGACAGGTGGCTTTTGCAATCTCTGTCTTGAAAGCCACAGAAAATCCCTTCACAGTGCCCAAGAGCACCTTGGAGGGGCTGTCCATAGTTGCCAAACTATTTGATAGCTCACTGTCAAAACTGCTGGGGATTTTTTGAAAGAAGTTCACAATTTTCCATATTTCCAAATGCCTACATTCTCAGAAACAAGTGGAAAGAAAGAGTACCCTTTGCATATTCTGGTTAAAAAAAAAGATGAGGATCTTACAAAGATGGTGTAACCCCCCCCTTTTTTACAAGCACAGATCACTTCCTTTTGAGAAACTAAAGAGGAAAAAAAGCTATTTGGAGTCTCTCTCAATCTCATTGTCCAGGGTTGGTACTTGCTGCATTTCAGCAGTGGCTCTCCCTGGACATCACCCAAGTAAGTCTCTCTTTTCAAACCTCTGTAAGTACATGGGTGCCCACTTGTGAAAGATCAAAAATAAAATTTCAAAATGTATACAAATATCTGCTCACATTAGGGAATCCAAGAAATAGCGAAATTTGGTTGGCAGCCATGGACAATCTCTTTGGAGTACTGTTTTGGCACTTTGAAAGGGTTGTCTGTGGCTATCAAAATGGGACTTGCAAAAGCTGGCTGTCAAGCTGGAGAGTCTAGGAACAGGAAACTTTAGTAAGCTGAAAACATGACAGGGAGGGCAGGAAGCCAGTAATCACCAACCCCAAATGCTACTTGGGCTCTTGTGGGGTCTTTCACAGGCAGGTGCCCAGGCATACTTGGCAAGAGCAACAAGGGGATTTTGTTGCTCTTGCCAAGGGGCTTGCTTGCCCCTACTTTCTGTGATGACAGTTTCTTGGGTTCAGATGACACACAAACCCCTGGAGCAATCTCTGGTTTCTCAAAGTACTGATAACTGAAAAATAAGCCACTCTGGGAGAAAGGGTCTATATTTACTTGACATGCTAAATTAATCTGGTTCCATCAGTGATTAGCTGTGAAAAACATTTTTCACAGAGACATCCCAGGAAAATGGTTGAAGTATATCCTACTTGATACTTGGTAGCTTTTGTAGTTGATAGTGAAAGCCAGTTGGGGTAGGGAGAAATAAAAGGTATAGCAGAGAAATCAAGTTGATTCAAGAGAATAATTTTCTGAAATCACTGATATGTAATCTCTGGGTCCTAGCTAAACACCCCATTCTCTGCCAAGACCTATGTGAAATGCCTCTTGCTTTTTTTGTTGTTATTTGTTCATATTATATGAGTATTTCAAATTTGTTTAGTTTCTGGGGAAATCCTAAAGTCTTTCAGCTCTGCCTTCCATTTTGTCTTACAAATAATTATATTCATTTATTTATTAAATAAATAACTTATTTTCCCTTGAACATGCATAACCTTTTTAAGGTAACATTTCTTTCTTTTCAACAGGAAAGTGAAGATGGCATAGAAGGAGATGGTAAGTTATGAGAATTTTAGTTTTAGTGATTGAGAATGTTGATATAAGAGCATGGATTTGCTAGGTTGATGTTCTCAAAATTAATATTCATCTACTGTAAGAAAGGGCCAGAGAATCATGCCAAGGCATCACAGGGAAGATGAGCATTAAGAAAGTATTGAAAGGCCAGGAGAGAAGCAGTGTTATTTTCTGGAGGAAATTGGTAGCAAAGAGAGCAGCAAGGCAGGAAAGTGAATTGTTTCAGGGAGCTGAAAGCCAGTGGACAACTTACGTTGGATATGGAGGAGCTAAGATGCTACTGGGCAGTGGCAGAGGAGAGGTGAGAGAGAGACCACCAAAAGCATCAAAGACCATGGCCAGGAATTAATAGAACTCTAGCAATAGGTAAGAAAATATTGTAGGGAGTTGAGAAAAGGTACTATTATGATAGAAGGTGAATAATGCCAATACAGAATTCTTGATAGAAATCTCTCCTCAGCCCTCTCACATTAAGAGGCTGAATATAGTGTGGCAAGGAATGACTTGAGAGTGAACCAGAGCTTTTTGTCAAGAGCAGAAATAAATGCCAAAAAAGAGGGGGGAAATTATGATTTACAGGAAGGCACAATAAAATGTGGCAGAGTGAACCATGGAAGCAAAGGATAGGGAGGAATCAAAGATAAAGCCAAGTGATCAATAGAATTGTCAGAGAATACAAAGAGTATATGAAGGGAAAGGACTTGGGAGAAAGTCTGATATTGCACATTGTAAATTCGAAAGATACATCTAACTTCAAACAATTCTTTATTTTTAGCTGTTCTCTCTGACTATGAAAGTGCTGAGGACTCTGAGGTGGGTTGAAGTTTTACTGACAATTACATAAATGGCTGTTGGTGTTCTATCTTGTACAAGAACAGAAGTTAGCCTTTTAATTGAAAAAAAGAATATTCAGGGCTATTGTGAAATTTGTTAGGTAGATGTGGATCTCTTGGCTCCAAGCACTATTTAGACTGAAGCTAGGTTACCACCCTTGTTGTGAAAAACAGCCCAGCTCTTATGTCCTGACATTTTTGTGGATGTTTGTCCATCTTCCCAAATTTCAGGTTTGATTAGTGTGCTAGAAAATTATGCCTGTTTAGTTTTTGAAGATGTTGGGAGGGCCGTTAGATTCCAGATGGTAAAACATGAGTCCACCATTCATATCTGCGCACTGTAAGGATACTTTTTTACCCCATCCCAAAGTAGGGTAAAGTAAATTGAATTGAATGCTTATTTCAGGCTGAAGAGGGGGAATACAGTGAGGAGGAAACATCCAAAGTGGACCTAAAGCAGGACAGTAATGATACTGAACTGACAACAAAAGCAGACAAAGGGGATGAAAAAGCAGAATCCAAAGGCACTGTGGCGGGCGAGAGGCAGAGTGGTGATGGACAGGTATGTCTTGCTGAATGGAAAGTACAGGTAGTAGCTAAACTAAAATGTTGTCTTGGATGCCTTCATGTCTGAAGAAATCAGTACAGTAACATTTTAAAACAAATTCCTTCGTTTTTAAGACAGCAAGTTTCTCCTGTTTTGTCTTATACATAATATTTTTTGCCATTGAAGCATATTCCTACACTTTGTCTGTGTATATTATAGCTGTTGGTATTATTTGTCCCCAGTATTTTGCAATATTTAATTCTTGCAGTAATGACTGTATAATAGATCAGTGCATTATCTTTATTCACTGTTCTAGCAGTGACATATCTCACACAATAATGCATTGAATTATATCTTATAAGTCAAGAGTCTTTCCTTTAAAAAAGACAAAACCTTTTCCCAGTGTTTTTCAGCTAGAGGGCAATTTCAAGTAAAAATGATAGCCTTTCATTATGTGATTCATATTTTTGTTTATGTAAACTTTTGTAACACTCCTCTTTAGTATCCATATGTATATGACTTGCCATGTTTTGAGCCTATGTTCTCATATATGTACCCACTTACTCAATTTGTGATATACTAGCACAGTTTTGAAAAGAGCAATCTTAATTATTTCACATTTAAAATTAGGTACTTCTTTTACTTGTTTACTTCATGTTTTGGAGGGAGTGTGTTACTTGTATTCCCAAGTAGCTGGTCTATATTTAGTAGCAATTTTTTTCTTGTGATTGCAATTGATTGAAACAAACTTGATAAGGAATGTCAGTATTCTTACACTTATGACAGTTTTTAGTAGCAGGATGGGTGCTTTGTTTCCCTCTTTGTAGGAAAGCACTGAAGCAGTTGAGAACAAGATTGGGAAAAAAATTCCCAAGCACCTGGATGATGATGAGGACCGGAAGAACCCTGCATACATACCTCGCAAAGGTCTTTTCTTTGAGCATGACCTTCGTGGGCAAACCCAGGAAGAGGAAGTCCGGTAGGTGACATAAGCAGCAAGAAAAGATGGTGGACTGTATGTTAGATGTTGGTTGGGCTTTAACAGTTGGATAGAGTTACAGAAATGGCTACTCATGATTCAAGGAGTACTTCCCAATACAGAGAACTGTATTTAAGTGTATCAATCCAGTGAATATTGTAGATGATAAAATCAAACAAGGAAGTTGAAGGAATGCATGAGACCTATTTGAAATGTTTTACAGACCACAGCAATGTGGGAGGGCTTTGAATTGTGATCTACAGGAAATTAGAGCTCTGGAAAAGAATTCTTTGCTTTACAGAATTCACTATATTGTTAATCTCCGAGACCCTTAGGACTAGGCCTTCTCATTTGTTGTAATTCTCCCTGAAGAGGCCTCCCTTTAGTATCTTCTTGGCAAACTGTCATCTTCTTTTAATTTGGATTTCTTGAACTCCTCTTCTGTATAACACTGGTTTTAATTCTGTTTTCTCAACTATGGTTTTGAATCTCTTGGCTTGTCCTTTGTTGCCCAACAGCTGGGGTAGAAATTAATACATTCACCCATTCTTTCTCATATAAGGCCCAAGGGCCGTCAGCGAAAGCTGTGGAAAGATGAAGGTCGGTGGGAGCATGACAAGTTCCGGGAAGATGAACAAGCACCAAAAACAAGGCAGGAATTGATTGCTCTTTATGGATATGATATTCGCTCATCACACAACCCTGATGATATCAAGCCCAGGAGGGTTCGCAAACCAAGGCAAGTGAGCAGCGATGAGGCTGTGTGCATGTATTTGTTATGGAATACTACTGCAAAGACCCTGAGGGCCTTGGTTTCTTTCTACTTCAGGTAGTAAAAAAGGAATACTAGTGATAGGGAGTTGACTACTCTGCTTTATATAGCTTAAGGAATTCACTTCTGACTTATAGCTTCTCATACCCTTTCAGATTTGGTAGTCCACCACAGAGAGAGACAAACTGGTCCAATGAATGGCCAAGTAAGCCACCGCGACATCAGAGTTTGGACAGTAGTCCAGTGCCACCCCGAACATTCATCAACCGAAACTCAGCCGGGACAGGACGGATGCCTCCACCAAGGACTTTCACAAGACCCAGTGGCTACAAAGAGACCCGCCCAAGCTATCGTGCTGTGGATGTGAGCAGTCAGCATGCACCTCGCTTCAGTGACCATTCAAAGCACGAGAACAGTTACCGGGCCAGGCGCTCCGAGCCAATTCCCCCACGAGAGCCTTCTCCAGAGGCAGAGATTCCACATACACACAACAGCCCTGATAAAAAGGAGGAAGTAATTTCAGAAAGCCAAGCAACTCCTACTGATATTCTGCAGCCGCCACCAGATAGACCTGTGGAAAAGAAGTCCTATTCCCGGGCAAGAAGAAGTCGGAATAAAGTGGGTGAGATAGGGAAGTTGGCTGATGAAGTCCCACCTCCATCAGGCTCAACACCAACACCCCTGAAAACTACAGAGGTAATACCATCCCAATCACCTGCAAAGACTGGTAACTGGGATGTACCTGTTGAAGCCAATCTAGATGGCCTTGAACAAGACATGACCCAACTGAATATAACAGAACAGAACTGGAACCAGGGACAGCCCCAGTTCATACAACCTCAGGGTAAGTTGCTCAGAACTCAGACTTAATTTAGGCTTATAATCCACCTTTGCAAAACCATTCAGGAAGGATAGTTTTAACCCCAAATTCTAACCAGTCAAAATATGCTAGGCATTTGTAGCCAAATATTGCTTGCTGATCAAACTGTAAGTCCTTTCTGTTTGTTCTTTTCTGAGAAACCACCTATTCTCATCTGCTGACCTTTAAGCCCCAAGGCCTGTACTTGTCCTCTTCCTGTCTTCATTTGTCTGCTACCTTCTGAAGTCTTTGACTCTTGCTTTCCTCGGCTGATGTTGCTGCTTTCCTTTCTTTGCTTCGGCCCTTCTGTCTGCCATGCTCTTCTCTAGGGTTTGATTGGTGCAGCTAGTCACTATTAGAGTTTCTGAGTATTAAAAAAATAGACACCCTTCTACTCATCCTGTGCATCTGTGATATTAGAGCATCTTGTTCAATTGGTGCTGGATGCTTGAATATTGTTTCAGTTATTCCCTAACCTAATTGCTGTACAAATTTATGGTAAACTAAAACTCCCCTTATTTATCTCTGGTTGATAAATGTTTGCCTACATTGAAAAGCCTGAGGGTGCTCAGTAAATCCTCCTGTTTGTGTTGCCTTATTCTTTTCTCACAGAAAACATTCATTTTTTTTCTGAGAAAGCACAGTGAATATAAAAGAAAAAGCCATCTGAGAGAATTGTCACCATTCTGGGTCCTATTGAACTATTTCAGATGTGTCCCACAAAAGTTGCTAAACATAATTACCACACTTTTAAAACTAATCTTTCCAACCACGATGATTTTGAATGTTGCTTAACAAACCACAGATAGTTACCTCAAAGTCAAGTTCTGCATTGTCATGGCTGGATGGAGTAGAGGTGATAGGCGTTATCATGGAACATGCACAGCTGCAAAATACCTACGTGCTCTTCCTTGGAATGCAGAATTGCTTATGGGAAAGGGAATTTGGGATTAACAGGATGCTCTGAAGGACACTTTTCTAGCAGACTCAGCTTGGGGCAGAAACAAATCACTTTGAGAGCAGTCCTCATGTTCCTGGCAGGGTATCCCAAGGACAGGAGGATTGCTTGGAACAATCCTTTTGAGCCGGTGTCAGCACTTCAAGCTCAGAGGGAAGTTGGAGAGCTGACTCCAGCTAACCTGCCCACTTGCAACCGGTGTAGAGAGAATCAAACTAACTCCCCTCCAGAAAAGTCAGAAAAGCAATCACAAAGGCGGAGGAAAGAGGGCAGGATTACAAAATAATCCTGAGATTTCTTCCTTTCCCCTCTAAAACACCCTTGGAAGTAGGTCTTTAAAAACCCTGAGACTTAAATAGAGTTTTAAAGTTAGATTGAGACTGGACTGGGTTAATATAAGATTAAATAATTGTACTGGCACAGCAAGGTTTGTGCTGGATTTCTTTTTTGCTAAGACTGGATTTCTTTTCTTCACCTACACAAAGTCAGCACAATAAAACTTGAAACATGGATCTCATTCACTTACAGGCTGTGCCTATTTCAGATATAGGTTTGCACAATTTGATACTCATTTTAATGTTTCCCTGCATATACAAATGTAGTATATCAGAGAAGCCTCATTAGCATTCTCTTTCCCTGACATCTCCTTCTATATGCTGGGAATCTTTTACATGAAAAATATTCAGTCAATGTCACTTCACTTCTATAATCTAAGATGCTATATCCCAGAAACAGTTTTATTTTGTTCGCTGTTTGTATGAACTAGCCCTTGAGCAGAAGAAAGTAAACTTGAGGAATAGTTGGGGTATAATTTCATTTCACTGATAATTCACTTAACCTGGGCCCTGCAGTTTAAGAAAGGTATGGGCTAGCTGGAAAATGTTCAGAGGAAGGCAACAAGGATGATCCAGGGACTGGAAACAGAGCTCTATGAGGAGAGATTGAAGAACTGGGCCTCAAAAAGAGAAGACTGAAAGGAGATATGATAGCACTCTACAAGTACTTGAAAGGCTGTCACAAGGAGGAAGGGCAGGATCTCTTCTCAATCATCCCAGAGTTCAGGACACAGAATAATGGGCTCAAGTTACAGATGATTCAGGTTCCCAGGTGAACATCAGGAAGAATTTCCTGACTGTTAAAGCAGTATGACAATGGAACCAATAACATAGGGAGGTTGTGGGCTCTCCCATTGCCACCCCCACCCAGCAAAATAAACTGACATTCTTAAGAATCATAAACTTTTTTTTCTTTAGTTGTCACATTCTTTTGTTGTGCAGGGAGCTTTTGGTGCAGGTGGTTAGGACAAGTCAGTTATCCTAATATCAGGATAGATATCAGGAATAGTGTATTCCTGAACACACTATAAGTTTTTAGTGTCCCTGCATACCCATTTGCCTATCTTCCCCTCAGCAACTTATGTTTCTTCTCATTTACATCTTTACCCAAGAAGTTCCTGAACTTGCTTTCTGTGCCTGAATTCATCTTAGTACTAGTGTAAAGTTGAGAGTAATTTTGATTTTTTGTGTTTGTTTGCATTTTGTTTGTTTCTTTTCCCAAACAGGTATTCCTAACCAGATGCACATTGGGACAGCCCCACCCCCTCAGTTCAACAGGATGGAAGAGATGGTAAAATCCTGTGTCCTTTTCCCGCTTCTCAAGTGCTGGGTCTGATGGGCACCCAGAGGGGGAGATCAAGGGTTCTAGAATTTCCCCTGGTGAATCCACACATTCTGTAGTCAGAAAAACAAAATCAAGGAGGTAGAACAAACTGGGTGGTTCAGGCCTGCTTAAGAAATTCCCCTTGTGGTGGGTTAATGTTGTCCTGGTTTTGAAATTATCTGATCTGGTACATAAAGCACCCCCTCCCTACATTTCTTTGTTGGCAGGTATGGAACATAAATGCACTGGGCAAAGCATGTCAACCCAGGTTTCCTGCCTCTCTTCTCCTTTCCCTGTCTCCTGTTTCCTAAGCACTTTGTTGTGGTTTCACTTTGGACTGCCACCACTCCCAAGTCCCCAGAATTCATCAGGTTAAGAATTAAGTGTAAAGAGCCTGAGCAGCTGGTGCTGCTTTTTAAATTAGAAACCTAAATTGAGAGCTTAGGTTCTCTGGATTCCTCAGAAGGTCCTTTTTCAGGAAATATCAGGTATTAATGGATCATAAAGATGGAAAGATCTTGACTTTTCAGCCAACAATGTTTGCTGCACAGGAAGAGGGTGTTTTACTTGTACAGACTTGTATGAAATCAAGACATTGTTGTGATTTTTCAGGCAGTCCAGGGGGGGCGTGCAAAACGCTACTCATCACAGCGTCAGAGGCCTGTCCCTGAGCCTGCTCCACCGGTGCACATAAGCATAATGGAAGGGCACTATTATGACACATGTAAGTGCACATTGCTGCTAACAGTCTTGATAAGCCTCGACAGCATTTGCCAGGCTGCAGGGTTGGAGAGGGCTACAAACCCATTGACTTCATCCTGTTGTAGTATGTCTGAAGTGCTCTCTCAGTGAGAGCTTTTCCATGTATTCCAGACTAATAGAGAAGAAGGATCTTTTGGTGAGGCAATGAATGGGGATTACTGTCAAAAGGTCAAAGGCACCTGCCTCTGGTGAGCTGGCAAATGGATTTGGGGATGCCTGGTTATTTATTGTTGCTTCTTGCAAAACTGGAACCCTCAAATATTGTCGGTTGGGATTGCTGGCAGGAGAGGCTTACACTGCTCTTTCTCTGAGCAACCCTCAAACAACCTCTCCCAACTAAAGCTCTCTTATGTATGTGCTCATACGTGTGCCTGGCCCCAAGTCTCCTACTAGATGTGACTCTCCAGACCAAAAGGTTTGTGTGCCCCTGCCGCAGAGGAATGCCCGACCATACATTTTTAAAATGCTTCATCTTTTTCATCTCTTTCCTCTAACAATCCTGGGCTCATGATAGCTTTTACTCAAAACAGCTCTGTGAGGTGGAATCTCATAGCGAGCTAACAGCTGATCCTGTCCTACCTAATAAACTTAATGTCTGAGTGAGGATCTGAACCCAGGTGTACCATGCACCAACTCTAGATGCTGATTGTGGAAATGGTTTCTGCATGATCTGACCTGTGTTCCTTCCCCAGCCCTGATAGGAAAGGTGGCACCTTTTAATAGCATCCCAGTGTGTTACTGCTAAATATCACTGTCTGTGGAATAAAGATTGTATTGAATGGTTCATTGCAGTACCGTTCCAAGGACCTATATACACCCACAGTGAGAATCCTGCCCCATTGCCTCCCCAAGGTGTGATTGTTCAGCCAGAAATGCATCTCCCTCATCCAGGTATGAACTTGACTTTTCACAGCTCCTCTCATTTTTCTCTAAACCCACATTTATTTGGGGGGGGGGGGGGCATACTTGACATGAAGATACTTATATCCCAGAATCACTCTTTTTAGTTGAGCATTTTCAACAAGTATTTTGTTTGCTATGGAAAAAGTGAGGTTGCTCATGGTAGATGTTTTGCTCTTTCCTCTATGCAGATGGCAGGTCCAGAATGGTGGGAACCATCAGTTTTGCCCTCTGGGCAGCTCTTAGCTGAAATGGTAAACCCTCGTAGCCACAGTAGTGAAAATGAAACTGGGGTTTGGTTAATGTGAGCTAATAGTTTAACAGCATCTCATTTGTAGGTTTCTTTGAGTTGCTTATAATGTTTGTAGGGCAAAGAGGCCGGGCAAGCAAAGCAAAAACTCATGACATTTTAAACATTAATGGACTGGGATTTGTGCCAGTCCCAAGGATTGACCCTGAAGGATCAGCCTTCACAAGCATAGAGCAGGGTGTTATTTCCAGGTTATTTGCTCCTGCAGGAGGCAAGCAGAGTTATTTGCGTCCAGCAGAACTCTTCTGTTAATGGAGCACACAGCCTCAAAACTATTATGTACTTCAGCCCAATGTTGAGGCATTTTGATCTCAAAAGCAATTATTTGGTTATTTTGTGTGTCTGTCCCTACCAGGATTACATCCACACCAGACACCTGCACCTTTGCCTAACCCTGGTTTGTATCCTCCTCCGGTCTCTATGCCCCCTGGACAACAGCCACCGCCGCCGCCACCACAGCAGCTGCTGGCACCAACCTACTTCTCCCCTCCTCCCGGAGTGATGAATTTCGGCAGTCCCAGTTACCCCTATCCTCCAGGAGCACTTCCGCCACCCCCACCTCCCCATCTTTATCCCAACACTCAAGTAAGTTTGTTCTGGTTTGGTCTTTGAGCTTTGAAATACAGGGTGGCAGATGACAAGGAAGCGAAGTACGGCTGCAGACAGACTTGCTTATTTTCAGGGCTAGCTTTTGACCTGCTGCTCAGCTCTCTTGCAAGCACTGTGCAAAATGGTAAACAGGTTGGCTTGTCTCTTCTCAGAGGTATGAGTCTGAGAGATGAAAAGGGATAAAGAATGCCACATATTGGAAAGTATGCATGGCGTGGCAGTGGCTGGATGCTTGCTAGTAGTTGTGCTCTGTAGGAAGCAGTTCATCCAAAGTGGACAAAGATGAATGTTTTAATTAAACATCTTTCCACTTTGTGAGTGAGACTGAACTGTGTAATAACAAAGGGAGGAGTTAGAGCTCCATTATCAGGAGCTCCATTATTTACAGTCTCAACACCTGTATCTAGCCACTTTGTGGGGATTTTGCATTTTAAAAATGTAGTAGTATTCAGAATTAGGAAACTTCCTGTTCTCTAACAGTTGTGGATATTCAGATTTATGTAGTATCTGTGTGACAATGGAACTGAATATTGATAGCCTGTTTATGTCCTAATTAGGGATTTTTCCCTACATTTTGTTTGCCTCTAAGTTGTGGCCACTGTGAAACACTGGTGACACAATCAGTTTTCTTACTTTTAATCACCCATACTTGATGTAGGGTAGGATTGTCCCTATTGAGTCTCATCCTGCACCTCTTATAAACAGAAAAATCCAGTCCATGGAAGCAAACAGCATCCTGAAACTACCTGAAAGTGATGGGTGGAGACCTTGTATGTCTGCAGAGCAATTGGCCCAGTATTGATTTATCTCTTTTCCACCATCATTCGTGAAAAATAGTTTTCATGCTGGTACTATTACGACTAGACCTGGCACTATCCTAATGTACCACTCCAGTATTGCTATCCTAGAATGTATGAGAGTTGCAGGCAGAGGATTTTAAGGAATAAGGTAGGGAATGAGCTATATCTTTCTGCTGAGAGAGGGGCAAATCTCAGTCCTGGGGATACATTCACTTCATTGTAGAAAATGTGTGAGTTGTTTGTCACCAAAATTCTTAGGGTGCTGTACAATTAAAAGAACAAAAGTGTATTATAACAATTCAGTACTAAAATAATTCAGAAGTAGTGGCATCCATTGAATGATCCAGACCAAACATGAATAAATAATTAAGAGTGGATGCCAAGAGAGTTGCTCTCAGCAGGCATTCCACATGCGAAGCCTCTCCGCCAAAAAGACCTTCCCATTGCCTAATCTTGGACAGCAAAGGAACCTGCAGGCCACATGCTTGTGGTGGACATGCAATAAAAAGCGATACTTCAGGTCTTAAGGTGTCAAGCTTTTTAGGACTTTATAAGAATGAAGTAGCACTGGTATCTTGGAGCAGAAACCCAGAATCGGGTGTAGTGGCAGCTTGCAGTTATGTCTAGAAGTGTTCAGTTAAGCAGAGCCAAGGGTATTCAGTAAAATGGGACCTGATTGTAGAAGTATCATGGTAGGAAATTAATAACTAAGAAAGAGTAGCTCATATATTATATGGCATGTACACTGACGGAGTTCTGTTGCTGTCATATAATTTGTACAAAAACCTTCTAAAACATGCACCTGCTTTTGATGAGAATGTGCCAAAATGCTGCAAGCAGCATATTGGAGTGGTTTATTCTAGTATGTTATGGAGCTCAAGGGGGCACACATGGTATTCCCTGGTTGGTATCTTGTCCACCAGAGCTGTTCAGCTTCCACAAGCTGCCTGAATGGTCCATTCTCAAACCTTGCCATGGGACTAGTGTGGTGCTCTGTTAAAACCCACTTTGCAGAAGAAAGAATCAAGAAAGCTTGGTAGGATATGTTGATGAGGAAGACCTCTGCTTGAATTAGGATTCAGTGAATCAGCAAGGAAATCTTAAAGCAGTTGCTCTTGTTAATGAATAAGGAAACTGTACTAGTTTTGGGGATAACAGCTTCTTCCAGGGAACCTGCCTCTGCGAGATTTAGGCTAGTATAATTCTTAAATATGTATTTAGCGGACAGTTCAATAATTTATTAATATGTAATGCTGTATTGTATAATCTGACAATCTGCTATGTATTAATGTTCTCTGTGTTACATGTTGATGTACAGGTGTATTCTGTGTTTACTTTGTATTTTGGTTCCAAATGTATAATTTGGGACTAATTAACCCTTTGGAACACATCAATAGTTTTCTCTTGGGTTTACAGGCCCAGTCTCAGGTGTATGGGGGGGTTACCTATTACAACACGGTCCAGCAGCAAGTGCAGCCAAAACCTTCGCCACCGCGAAGAACATCCCAGCCGGTTACCATCAAGCCGCCCCCTCCTGAGGTATCTCTGACTTATCCTCCCCTATTTTCCTCTGTTTTGTGATCAAGTGTGCTTCCATGAAAGGGAGTTCACAATTCACAAGGCCCCACTCTACCCACAAAAGTGGTTCGAGAGTGCAAAAAATCACTACCTGTTTTGATATGTTGCAAACTCTAGATTCTCGTTACAGGTTGTAAACAGGGCTCCAGTTAACATTTCTAAACGGTTTTGAAGGTGAGCTTAGAAGTTAAGAACAAAGTTGATGTTTGGATCCTGTTTAACTCAACCAAACAAAGTCCACCCCATTAAAAATCCATGTTGCTAACTGCAAGATTGCCATGTGACAGATTACTTCACAGTAAAATTGATTGCATTTTTAATGAAGTGTAAAAACAAAGCATTATTTATCTGATTTGGAAAAACCTTTGTTTCTTCCTTTTAATTTCCTGTTTTAATGTGCTTTTTGGTTCACATGAAAATGTTGCTTTTCTTACTTCACCATCAAAATATTAATTCAGTATATTTAGCAAATTGCAAAAAGAGAGGGGGGTGCTGAACTGAGCCCTTCTCTCTCAGAATTGGTGGTGAGATAGTATTGTCTAGGAATATGCCTTTGTAGAAATCTCATACTTCTTCCATTTGGTAAGTCACAAATCTAGATTATAAGCTCCCTAAATCTTCTGCAGACAGCAAGGGGCCATTTTTTAATCTTCCCTTCTTGATTTCTTGAAGTCATTTCATAATCCATTTATTTGGGATTTCTAGCATCATTCAGACCTTTGCTTACTCCACAAAAGGCAGCAACTGCTAACAAGGTTAATGGCTCATCTGCATAACGCTCACTTTTTTGACATGTTAGTGGTAGCTCGTTAACTTCTGGCTGATAAAGTTTACTGTTCTCTAGAAATGCATGCAGGCTTAACTCACTAAAAGCATAAACCTTTGACTGCAGCATGATAGTTCAGTCTGTAGGTGAGGGTTTAAAGGGGAAAAGGGCCATCCTACCAAATAATTTCATCTAGCCAACTAGTAGACTGGGGGAAGCCTGAGCTAGAGCCAGTCGTCATGTGTGCAGGAATACTGTAGTTTCTGTTCTGAAAAGCATCCTGTCATGTGAACTGAACCACCTGCACTCTGAAGTGGTACAACCTGACACAGGTTTACCACCCCAGTAAGAACAATGTTGCACTATGAATCACCCACCGCTTTGCTGGAAGTATCAAGCTGAGGAAGGATCCCCAGGCCATCTATTCTGATTTATTGACCTGTTGGTAAACAGCTGACTCATAAGGTACAAGAGAAGTGAAAAGGTTGTATAAAGAACAGTGCAAAGACATGTGCATTTAATAGAAGGAGGTGATAAAGGGTGAGATCGGAACATTGATTCAGCCCAGGTCACAGCTGACCATAGTTTCGACCATGGATCGACTCCACAGAGCTCATAGGTCATATGTTGCCCTCATATGGCCATTTGTATGTTGTCTCACAGACATAATTGCTGCTGAAATCTGAGGGATTCTTTTGTAAAATGGTGTATTTCCCCACATGCTGTGCTTTCTAGTAGAATCAGCTACTTGAAGGGCTGGTGGGAGCACAATGGGTTGGGAAACAAAGCTGTGTGCAACTCTGTGCCCTCATCCCAGCACAATTGCTGGGATTTTGGAAGCACCTTTGTTGACAGTGACAACTTCGGCAGAAGCGTGTGCCCCATGAAAGACTCCGTAGAGGCTAGTGGAGCCTTCCAGCCCCAGAGAGTTGCCCTTGGTTAGACCATAGCTGTAGATTCAACTGGAACCCCATGGCAAAAACTTGGCACACTAGAGGTGAATGGAACAGGCGTGGGGAAGCAGGGCGATTTCCTGCACAGAACTTTCATGTGCCCTGTCAAGGCCTAAAACTGGTCAAACTTGCTACTTCCAGCTCTTAAGCCTTATTAATGCTTGGTCTCTGATTCCTTTTCTCCCTTGTTTGATATTTAGGACAACAGAACTGAAAAATCCAAAGAAAGGAGCAACACTTAAGGACTCCATGTTTTGCTGATTTCAGTAGAGTACCAGATCTGGCACCTGTGGCAGGCAGAAGACATCTATGCGTGGAGTCTCTATGCTCTTTTTCCATCGGTAATAAGCAGTGCGCATGGGTGCAGGCACTTCTGCTATGATATACTATGTCAGTCTCGTGGTTGGGGACAGCTTGTCCATCAGTAGGGCATCACTGAAATTGCATATCTTTTCATTCATTCTCTTTCTTCCCCCCATGCAAACCCATGTTCTGGGGCAAGGAGACTACAAATATTGGATGTAAGATTTATCTGCTCCCTAAGAGAAGCGGTTTTCACTCTCCTTTCTAGGTGTGACTGTTTTTAGGTGTCTAACTAAAACTGCTCAGCTCGTCCTTACGTTATGTTCCCATTTGAAGAACATGACATTACTTTTTTTCTCTTCTGTTTAACTGGTCTTGTTAACTTTACCTGAGTTGTGTGAAATTGTTTTCCTTGGCTGACTTTTTTCAATAATATGATTTTTCAAATAAGTCCTTCTTGTACAAACTCTTGCTAGTTTCATGGATTGAAATTAATAGTTGAATTTGGGAAAGGAATACCTTGTCTTGAAAGCAGTAAATACCTTTTCTATTGCCACTTTTCTTTCTCCCCATTCCCGTGCAAAGGGAAAAAAGCTTATTTTAGGTTAAGTCCTAGTGGCAATTGCCTACTTGATCCTTTTAACAAAGAGTTGTTCCTCTTCCACTCCTTGCTTTGCTACCACCCTGAGGAAAGTAGCCTTTAAGTGTGCTAGGGTAATCAACAGGCACATCTGTGATTCTATGATCTGTGTGGTCATAGCTTGCAGTGAGCTGTAAACGTTGAAACTTCACTGTCTGACTAGCCCACTTTGTCCTGCAGAAGGTAGGAGGGCCATTCATTTGCCCCTTGAAATAGCACGGACCCTTTGCAGCTCATCAAGTGATGTTCTGAAGGCTATCTGCCTGTTTGCCTGCACTTTGCAGCTTAGATCTTGCCCGCCAGGCTGCATGGCTTCCACTGACCCTCCCCTGCACTTTGTGGGTATTTTTAATTCACTTATAAAACCACTCTAGGAAGTGGGCAACCAACAGCCATTTGCGCTGGGCTGTCTTTGGCACAAGGCTTCTGGGAGCTATTCCAGGCCTGTCTGCTTTTTTCATGCATGTGTAGCTTCCTATGTGAAGTACCATCATTGGTTTTTTTTTTAATTTGATAACCCTCTTAATTTAATTTTTTTTAAAAAAGAAGTACAGCTGGCATTGAAGAAAAGCCCTTTATGTTCTAAATGTATTTGTTTTTTCTCTGCCTTAACGTTTGAAATGTATCCTTTTAACATATCAGTCTTGAAATTTTAGACCTAATGACACTGTGATAGCTAATTTTTGTTAATAAACATTTTTGTTCCCATTCTTCTTGTGGTGCTGTGTGCGTGTGTGTGTAGTTATTACTAAATGTGAAAGATATCATTTATGGTAGAAATTATTTCATGGTAATATTCTACTTCATGCATCTTGAAGCAAACTTGCATAGCTAGGATTGCATGTGTTACCCTGTAACCTGAAAATGACATGAGACATTAACAGAATTATGGGCATATTTTTGTGTTTTGACTGCTGTAATTTGGCTTCCAAAGGTCAGCTCTTTTAAGAATTTGCCAATAGTGTCCAAGAGGGCCTGGTGGATAAGTGAATACCTTGGGGAAGTGTACCACTCATGTTGTGCGGGACCACAGACTCCAGGTCCCTCTACTTTGTTAGCCTACACACATTTCTGCAAGTAAGTGCAGAGAAGCTTACTATCTTCAAATCCATGGGATGTGTGGGAATGGGAAGAAGAGGGGCATTTCATGGGTCCTGCATGTAGACTGGGCAGCTTTGAACACAGGAGAAATACAGTGGAATCAGTTCCCCAAAGAGGTTGCTCTGCCAAATTGGGTGTGTTGACTATTTGCACTGAATAGCAACCAAAACAGTAGAGGGCAGCATAATTCACACCAAGCCCTCCTAGGAGCTCTAGTGAAAAGAGTGAGGGACCATGCTTTGACTACTCTGGAGTATAAATTTTCTATCATTGAATAATAGTGAAAAGGAATTTCAAAGGTCACTGTTCTCCCTTCCCCATTTCCTGCAATTTTGGGATTTTCTTGGATCCTGTACAGTATATGTGGGAGGTTTGCCTCCACAAATGTAACAATAGTTAAATGTATGTCCAGAGTGCAGGGCCAAGGGTGCTACCCTCTACTTCCACCACCACACTTTTAAGTATTTTTGGCTGAGTAAAAAATGTAAGCAATTCTTTTCTCCTGTAAGGTTGAAAAAAGTGGTGTGGAGGAAACTGACAAAGGCTGAAGCAATAGTCCCTCCTTCCTTCACTATATCAAAGAAGCCTCCACTATCACCTCTTTGGGCAAGAAGCAACTACCTCTGGAACAAGGGAAGAGAATGTGATGTGGAAGGAGGAGGGTGGAATTAATATAGTCCCAGTGGTAGAGCAGTGTTCCCCAGCCTGGCACCCTCAGTGTGTGTTGGACCACAACTCAGGTGGAGGGGGGGATGGATGGCAGCAGCCACATAGCTCAGGGTAGAGCACGTGGAATGAGGGCCACAAAAGAATCCTGCCTGTAGCCCTGAAAAGTGCCGCCAAACAGTGTAGACACAGCTAGATGGTCCCTCTTAGAATAAGGCAGCCTGTGTTCCTAATTTCCATTGCTCAGTTCATGTGCAGTCCAGCACAAGTGGAAGGCACCAAGTTAGGGAATACTGGAGCAGAATGCTGGGCATTTTAAAAATTTGGATTTAGCCTGAACCCCTAGCTGAGCTTGTTTCTGGGCAAGGCTGTTGCTGTAGCTTCAGTTACCCATCCAAAAAATAGATGTAGTATTGACATTAGTTGTTGTGCAAATCCAGGAAAAAGATTAAGTACTTGCAAAATCTTGTGTAAGATGGCAATGATGGGAAATGCTAATCCCACATTTAGGTGGGTGTGTTAATCATAATTGACCTACTTAGATGCCTTTCCTACTCTAGTTTGTCTGAAACTGCAAAACATTTTGCAGTATGTTACCTAGATGATGTGTTCAAATTGAGTCTATGGGTTAAATAAGAAACTCGGAGGAAGGAACTATTGTGAGCCTCTCACCTCATTGCATTGTGATGCTTGCCTACATTTCGGTGCTTAACATGCCGCCGTCTTAACATTTGACAGTCTATAAACAGATTCATGGTAGCAGCCTAATCACTACATGCATTTGCTTTCTAATCCAATGATTTAAGCCAAGCAATTGGACTTTTTTTCTTGCTCCAAAACTAAACCTTTTAAAAATTCTTTATTTGGCCCTGGCCATGCCTAAAGCCCATCTGTGTGAAGCTTTTAATGGGCAGCTATGAAACACGATACACCTGTAGATCTGCATATCAGATTCTTGAAACTGTTTTGGCTGCAACTGCAAGAGCGGACTTCCACAGGAGCAAAAACTGACCCATGCCAAAGCAAAATCTAGTCCACCCGCAAAACCAGAGCTGAAGACCAGTGGTAGGTATGAAATGCAAAAGAAGCTTTCCCACATTTTGCCTTGACTCTAGGACCCCCTTCTCACCACCATCTGTATGACAATTACCTCTGTGTTTTATTACATGTGGCGGCAGTATGTATGAAACTGCAATCACACGAGCAGGTTGATTGTGCCTTTCCTTCCCACCTACTCGGTCGGCATTCTCCTTGCAAAGAAAAGAGGCATATTCCTTTGACCCTGGCAATGTGGTTGCAGTATTCATGTGTGCATCACAACAGCATAGGATAAAGCTGTGACAATGCAGATCCCACACAGCTCCGTAAGTGTGTCTTCTAGGCAATTTCAGGTCCTTTGTGCAATCTGAGCGCTGTTGTTAAGGGTAGTACATTGGGGTTATGGGGTGAAGATAGAAAAGTGGTTATTCATCAGCAAGGCTATTAAGAGATCCATCCAGTTGGTGCCTAAGATGTTCAGCAACATTATATTCCTTGCTGCAAATTGTGCAGGCACCTCTGCCTACAAAATCAGTCTGCCAGCGGTTCTATATTCTGATTGAGTGCCAGGAGAATATAATCTAAGATGCATGAGTGCTTCCTTGAAAGACTGTCCAGGGCCCCTTTTCTCAGAGACTACCTTCCTTTATTTCTTTGCAACATTTAAAATTATCCTGTATTACCAGAATAATTATTCTTGCCAATACCAGGCGTCTGTGCTCTAAACTCATACAGCAATTTTATGGATAATACAGAGGCATTTGCAGTTGCTGGTGCTGCAACATGGTGGTAAAATGTCACCTAAGCTAGTTTGCACAACTGTTGACCCACCAACTGAAGTAGGTCCTTAACGGTGGAGCACATGCTTTGCACAGAAAATTCAAGTCCTCAGTATGTCCAGTTAGAGCTGGGAAAGAGCTTTGTCTGAAACCTAGGAAAGCCAACTGCCAGTGCAGACAATGTTGTGCTAGATAAACCAATGGTCCACTTTGCCACTTTTCTATGTGTCTGTTATAAATCATCTGTTTAGTCAGCCTGCAGAAATGGGATGAAAATGATACTTCTGGAATACCAACATAGATGGACAGTAGTTCATAATTGTGTAGCCCGTCCCTAGACATTCTTGAACTTTGATGTAATGTACCTTTCAATTGGTAGTTCGTCTATATTGCTTCTTTCTTCTTTCCTGAATGGTTGCTACTCACCCTGGAGAAGGTGGCACAAAAGTAGAAATAGATAAAGACACACAAGGAGTAACTGATTCTCTGGAAAGGCCCACAGGGTATGTGAACATGGGGCTTTACATGGCAGCCCTTGTTTGCAGAGGTGGCTTTAGTATAAGGTACCACTATTGACCAATCAGGCCAAATGGGTGGAATGAATTGCCTGTTTACAAGCCTTTGACCCTCTAATCTACACAATAAAAACAATACAGCAACAAGATGCCTGCCTGTTGCAAGAATGCCTAAGAAGGAAATGTTGCTGCCTTGCCTATGTTGCTCAGAAGAGGCTTGACTATGAACAAAGCAGGTTGCATGGCTAAGAAGGCGAGGAGGATGGGTGGAGAAAGACATGTGCTTGATTGCAGCTTTTGTGTTCCAGGTTCCATACTGGTCAGGGCTGAACTTGAACTAAGGTAGGTACAGGTTCAGGTCTGGAATCTTCAAAATCACTTAGGATCCCACTGAAGTCTCTTGGGCTGAGCTTTCTTGTAGTCCTTTCATGTCTTTAGAAGGGCACAGCTGGGTTACAGGATCTGCTCCGCACATCATGTGCAACCTGCTTAAACTGTTAGATGATCAATCATGCCCCCCCCGCCCCCCCACTGTGAGCCTCTCCTCTTCAGCCCCAAAGCACGCAGTCTGGGTTTTGGTGAAAACATGATAAAAGTGTTATTCAGGAAAAAGTACAGAATGGAAAAAGGTTGGTCAGGTTCAGAACACAAAGCAGTAGCCCTTTAAAGTGGCAATTCAGTGGCAAATAACAAATAAATGGAAAATGCAGTCTAACTAGCACCAGCTGCCTTTCTGCTCCTTTGAAGACTGCCTGCTTCTGTGGTAAAGCTCTCCTAGTGCCTGTGTCAGATCTTCTCTCTCTTCTGAGGAAACCTACACCCTAGTATCACCTGTCATGGCAGAAAGATTTTGATGCAGCCTGACTGGAGTATATCTCCTTCAGTTCCTCCCCCATTGCTCCAGTCAAGTTTTCCGAAGAATCTTTGCTTTTTGTCAGCTAACTGTCCAGTAGTCACTTATCCCCAGCTCTGAGATATATTCTAGGAGATGCTTGATTTTTTAGGCACCTGGGAAATTTATTAGTTAATAGATTTGCTAAGCAGAGGTGCCTGGCCTTGAGATGACCTCAGCCAGGGTATCTGCTGGACTTTAGCTTTAAGAGCGACCTGTATCTGCTTGCAAAAGCAAGCTTCCTTCCGCTTTGGATGAGGTAAGATGGGCTCAGTATGGTCTGCCTGAGTGAGCCACTCCAGACCAGCCATAACAGAACCCCAGCGGCTTTTCTTTATCAAATTAACTCCAGATTCTTATGCTACTATAATGAACAAGCACTTTGGTCCCTTCTCCCACTCAGCCTCCCTCCCCATTTTACCACCCCCTCCAGCATTTCACAGATGCAAATAGGAATATTAAGTGCACCAGTTAGAGCATTATTCTCACATCCAAGGTTCACTGCCTCGGTGCGCATGCGTGAGTGTCTGCATGCACTCGCACACGCGCCACGCCACCGCCACCACCTCCATTAGACTTTGCTGCAGGCATGTCTCCATCTGTGCATGCTATACTCATTTACTCTGCCATAATCTGTGCTGCACTAATTTAAAAGCACAGAGACTGTTTGTTCTTGTAGTTAAAGATATGCTAGGAAAACATAATTGTTCTATCATTTG